GGCTGGCCTGCGGCACCCCCATAATTCACCCCAGCCGGCTTTGCCCTGCCCTGTCCCTTTTTCCCCAAAGAGGAATTTCTCTTACAATCCTGGGACTTTTCAGTTACAGCTAGCTTTATTAAAATTCCTCTCCTCTTCCTCTGCCTGGCTAATTTCATGCTCAAAATTCAGATTAGAGGTCACTTCTTCAGGAAAATCTTATTAAATCTTTTTTACAGAAGCTGCTTGGGCCAGGGGCCCTTTGCCTGCACTCCAGAGCCTCTGCCCTTCCTTCCATAACAATGCCCGCCCTCTGTCCCCTCCGGAGTGTGAGAGCGAGGAGTGGGCAAATCACACAGCCGGCGACACTCGGGTCTGGTGAGCAGGCCACGTTCCCCCAGCCAGTTCCTTCTCCCACGGGGCTCAGTGCCCTGAAGATGCAGGGTGTCCAGGAAGAATTGCATGGGAAGAAAAGCATGTGGACCCCATGGTCCTGGCTTCCTGCGGCCGGTGCCCCACCACCCCTCTGGGCAGCAGGGACACTGGCAGGTAAATGGTGGCCCCTAGAAGCAGGGCTGGCCACCATCGCCCAAATAGATGAGTGTCCCCCAGCCAGGAACCGGTGCACAGCAGGTTTCAGGCCCCTCCACCCACTGCAGCCCCAGGTGTGAAGCTTGGCCACCAGACTGCGTGCGTGTCATTGCCACTCCCAGGAGGGAGCAAACATATGAACGCCCGCTGTGACACTCCTTTACATCCCCCCGCCTCATTTCCTTACAAAACGAAAACAAAAAAACTCCAAAGGCCTCCCTACCCGCTGCTCTCAGGGTAAAGCATTTTCTCTTGAAATTCAAAAGGCAATCCTCTCTCCTCAGCAGCACGGCATTTTGGGGGGACACTGCTCAACCTCGTATGGGACCAACAGAGGAGCGTCATGGGATGACTTGATTGTGAAAGGTTCACTCTGACTGCGGGCAAAGAGGACCCAGCACAAGGATGAGACGAGAAAAGTCAGAAAGCTATCGAGCCAGTATAGCAAGAAGCAACGGTGGCCAGCACGGGTGTGGCGGTGGCGGGAAGTGCTCAGCCTGGAACACTGCAGGGCAGGGTCTGCGGGATGTGCCGTTGGGCAGCACGAAGCCAAGGAGCGGTCTGGAGGTCAGGGCTAACAAGAACTCAAGAATGAGGTGGCTGCTCAGACTGGGGACGCTGGCAGAGGGGTAAGTCTGTGGGGTACAGTACTGATGGGCACAGGAACTCATGCCTTCATCCTGAGCCCAGTGTCCCCTTCCCCTTCCAGGTGGTGGTTGGGGAATAGCTGTTTCCTTCTGGAAGCTTTTATGGGCGGTGGACCTTAGTCTCTTGGGATGCTGGATAGGCACCCTACCAATCAGGCCTCATTGACAAATGAGCAACTTTCCATGTCTGTAAGTCTCTGGCTGCACACCTGCCAAGGACACCCCACCTCCACAGAGCCCCTCCCACGGGCCACCTGAACAGCCAGCCCCCCACCTGAGAGCACTGGGAAAGGTGAGCAGGTCAGGACACTCCCAATTTGACTGTATCTGTGATCACTTTTGTGCAGTAAATTTAAGTAATTTACATGTTATTAGTAAAAGCACGCTGACACATTTCCAGGCCAATCATGACACATCCTTGTGACTGCCAGAGAGGCTGAGAACTGTAGTTTCAGACAAATTTTTCTGAGCTCCCAGTGAATGTCTAGTGGTTTGTTTTTTTTTTTTCAGAATAAAGTCTATGGGCCTTTGACAGCTCTTCTAATTGGGCTGAAACTGAGGCCATTGACAAGTGTCTCATCTTCTGCCCCGGATAATGGCAAGTATTTTTAAATAACAATTCCAAATTATGTTGTTATGGTCTAGTGTGTGTGTGTATATATATATATATTTGCATATTGCTTATTATATTTCTATCACATTATACATTCCTTTGCCTTTTTAATCTTGAGTATACTGAGCCCAATTTAACATTTAAATTTTTAATTATAAGCATCACTTAATATAAATCAATGCCTTCAGGAAATAGCCAGCACTCTGCCTGTGTAATGAAATACCCTGCACTGCTATAATTATATATGTTATTTGCATTTTAAATTAATTTCGTTATATTAGCAGTCATGCCATCATTTTCCTACCTGTCCACCTTATGTGGTACAGCCTGGAAACCCAAGTACCCAAATACATACAGATAGTTTACTGATTTAAGCTCTTGGGGTAGAGGTGTAAAGGACTGGTATTTACTCTATTTGGTAAAAGGTCAAATTTTGTGATATCTATTTTAGTTGGGAATATAATTTTCCATTGGATTTGGGGTTCAAGGCCAAGAAGGTTGAGTTAGCCAGAAGTCTCTTGGCTTCTGACCCTGGCCAGTGGGGTGTCATTAACAGGAAATTTTAGGCCGAGATGAGCAATGGGATAGCAATCTTATGTATGTTCTCTGTACTCAGCATTAGTTATCAGCAGTTGAAGGAAAAATGCACAAAATGTTGTATTTCAGTAATTTACAGGAAAATATGGAGACCCTCCCCCCACAATGCTCTCCCCCAACTCTGAACTTGGATTCGTCGGTTCCTTCATTTACTCCACGAACATTGGGGCCCCCAGTCCACGCAAATGGATGAACAAGACAGCCCTGCCCTCCAAAACTGTTATTTCAGAGGCTGAGGCAGACGGATGGCCATTTCCAGACCCATAGTGGCTGGTGGGAAAGGGTCCGGGAGAGACCGGTCTGTGCCACAGCCCATTCCCCGGGTGCCCTTCACTCCTGGTGCTGATCCAGAATATTCCTGTCTCCTGTCCCCAGCCTGCTTCAATTGCTACATGCCCTCCCCCCACTGTGTACTTTTCTTAATCAAACAGAACTATTTGCTGTTGTCTGAAGAGACAGGAGGAGAGAAATTCCACGTAGTTTCAGAATAGCTTTTCCTGAGCAGGAAAAGCTCTTAATTGTGCATTTTGGTTCTCAGGAAAATGTTGATAGGAAGTGGTACTTAGCTGACCTGGGACCCAGGGCCATGGGTTTTCATGAGGTAAATACTCCCCTCCCGAGAGGGTCATCACTGGCATGCTTGGGTCTGCGGTGAGAGGCCACTGGGCTGCCCACCCAGCCGTGACAGTCCCATTTCCCGGCTCTGTCCTCATCCATGCCTCTCTGCACCGACCCACAGAGCCCGGACACGTGGGGCTCCTAGTCACCAGGCACCAGTTCTCTGGGAAACAAGGCTCCAGCTGGGGCACCACATTTCTTTTTGAGCCTCTGATAGGCTTATCCTGAGGCTGGGATGGTGGAAACTGCCAGAAATTGGGCAATATTCAGTTTGGTTTGCCTGGCTCAGTATTCCTTATACTGGTTTTGCCAAATGGTAAATTTATGTAAGACAAATTTTAAAAGGGGGTCATGATCAAATACGTTGGGAACCCCAGCATATTTCTTGGAGATAGAAAGAAAAGAAGCATTTTTAACTTCAATCCAGCTTCCATGATGATTTGTTTCTGAATTGTCCCCCTCCCCTCCCCCTCCCTACACACACACACATGCACACACACGCACTACTTGAATGCCTGTTAACACTATTCATGCGGTTTGAAAATATCACTGTAAACTGCAAAGACTGGATTTGTAGTAGGCGCTGCAGACTAACAACAGCCACACGTTCCTGGCAAAGCAGCCCTGAAAAGGCGCACATCCATTTGCTGCCTGCATCACAGCTCTGCTGGACTCTCCTCTGGGGGCACCACCCTCACCTGCTGCGGCCTCGTGGTCAGAGGGGAGCCAGGCGGCACAGGGCGCTTCAGACTGGGAAACAAGGCCTCTTGGAAACAGCGTGTCCTTCTCTCCCCAACTCCCCAGTTTCTAATTTGGAGAAAAAGGGGGTTAGCAAACTGGACCTCCTTCCCACCACTTCTCCTTCGCCCTCTCCTCTCTCCCCTTTCCTTCTTTCTTGTCAAAACTGGCTTCACTGAAAATATAGTGTATGTCAAAATGTATTTATTTTGCACCAAGCAGAATCCCTCCAACACCACAGAGCTCCACCAAGTGACTTATGCCTCTTTATGTGATAAGTTATGCATGAACAGTCTGATACTAACATTGTCAAACTGGTCAAAATGGCCTGAACTTGGAATTTTGATGAACACATTGTTTGGGGACTTTGAAATTTTTACATTTTCCCCAAGAGGATTTTATGTTTTTACTCTTTTTCTAGGTCACAGCAAAACATTGTGCTTCATCATCAGTTTTGATTTTTCTCAGAAATTATCTTGTTTTCTTTCTTTGAAAGTTCAGGAAAATGTCAAATCTGCATTTTCTGTTTATCTTTCAAATGGTGAGGTGCAATGTTAATGGTTTTTGCAAAAAGAGTTTTTAAAAACTCAAATTTTTCTTAGCTATTAGTTTCACAAATTACCACATATTTGAGTGCACTGAGCCTCTGGCCCTGACTCGCCTCTGGGGCCTGGGGATGGAGTTGGTGTTTGGAAACCATCACAGGTGTGTGGCCTGCGCTCTGGAAACTTGTCAGGCCAAAGAGCCTCTCTCTACTCACACATCATCACCTCCAGCTTCTTTCACATGCTCAGGTTTATGTAACTACAGGAAATTTGGTGCTCCCCTTTTCTAAATACTGCTCACTTCTTAGTCGCTCAGGGTTCACCGCAGCCACGGGCCTGCAGCCGAGGTGCTCTGTGTAGGGCTGATGGTGAACCTGCAAACATTTTTAACCTGTTGCTACTAGAGGGGGCTGCGCAGGGGAGCTCTGGGGAAACAGACAGGGTGTGCGGCCAGGTGGGTCTGCTGTGGGGGCGGTGGAGGCGGCGGCCACAAAGCAAGGCGGGCGTCGAGTGAGGCTGCACGGGGAGGGAAGGCATGAGGCAGCCAGCCTCACAACGCTGAAGCTTAAGCCCCCTGACCCTTCCCTCAGTACTGCCGTCTTGCAGCACACCCGCCAACACTCTTCCGATCATCGATCATCAGTTCACAGAGAGGAAAACCCCACTTGATGGCCGAAGACGAGCCTGTGGGGCCTGGAAGCCGCTGGCATTGACGAGACCACGCCGGCAGGGGTGCAGAGCGTGCTCCTGGAGCGCCGCTGGGACAGATTTCACAAAGGGGAGCAAGACGTGGAGGACTGGGACCTGCACTGGAGGCCACCCGCCTTCTGGATGGCCCGGCGCCTGAAGCACATGTGGAGGCTGTACGGCTCGCGCTTCTACGAGTTCCTGCCACCGACGTGCATTGTGCCCAATGACTACGGCAAGTTCATGACCGAGAACTTCAAGGAGAAGCCGTGCAGGGCAGGGGCACTGGCGGGGCACCCACACGGTGGGCCACCCACCCCTCACAGCTACGGGATCTGCAAGTCTGCAGAGCTGTCTCGCAGGAGGGGAATCATAATTTTCAGGGACATTAAGGACTTTGCTTTCGACAACACATGCGTGGTACAGAAATACATCTGCAACTCTGCTGGTGGGCACGCACAAATGTGACCTCCACATCTACGTCTGCATCCCTGGCTTTAAGCCTTTGACCATCTACATTTATCAGGAAGGGCTAGCGCGCTTTGCCACAGAAAAGTTCGACCTCGGTAACCTGCAGAACGATTATGCCCATTTGACCAACACAGCGTTAACAAATCTGGGGCCTCGTATGAGAAGATCAAAGAGACAATCAGGCGTGGCTCCAAGTGGACCCTCAGCAGGCTCTTCTCCTATCTTCGCAGCTAGGACGTGGACGACCTGCTCCTGTGGCAGAAAATCAACCAGGTGCTCGTCCTCACGGTCCTCGCCATCACCCCGTCAGTGTCCTCTGCAGGGAACTGCTTTGAGCTCTTCGGATTTGATATTTTGATCGATGACAACTTGAAACCGTGGCTCTTAGAGGTCAAGTACAGCCCGGCCCTGTATGAGGATTGTTCAGCAGACATATCCGTGACAAGAAAGCTCATCCACAACACCACTGAACTGATTTCCTTGCATGGCCTACGTCGCGACAGGAGAGAAGGCAGTGAGGCCAGCACCTGCCTCGCCCACCCCAGCACCAGGTGCAGCCCCTCAGGCAGCCCCCTCCCCTGCCAGCCCCCTGGGCAGCTCATGGAGAGAGTCTTGCAGTGAGGATGAGCCCGCTGCAAGGGGAGCAGCAAGAACGGGCCCCGGGAACAAACGGGCCTCCTGGCTGACAGACATGACAGCCAGGAAGGAGGATGCACTTCTGTCCGCAAGAGAGCCCCCCAAAGCCAAACCAAAGCTAAAGGGCAGGCGTGCACCCTGCCAGGCGCTCCGCCCCAAGCCTCCTGCACCCTTAAGGCAGGCATCACCCTGTGTGTCCTGTCAGACAACAGCCAGGTGCCAGATCCAAGGGCAGGTCACTTTGTTCTCATTTTCCTTGCAATGAAGCTACCTTTGGAGTGCCTAGGAATGCATTACATTTCAGAAGACTAATCCAAGAGCTCCAGAAAATAATGAATAAGCAACTTTCCCAAATGGGAGGAAAGAAAACAGAGAGAGGGTGACATGGCTTTTTGAGAATCAAGGATCCCTATGCCAGGGAAAGTGGCAGCTCAGCGTCTCATCCCTGCATGAGCCACACCATTGGGGCTGTAAATGCAGGAGTGCCTAGAAATATAACAATTTTGACCAAGTAGAGCATGGTCAGCTGGTGGCTGGATTGTACTATATCACTGGCTCATTTGTTCAGATCTCTCAGGAGAGCCCCCCACAGCCCCTTGCCTGTACTTGCAAAGCTTTATCACAGTCATGCTGTGCATTTATTTCAACTTGAAAAAAAGATTATTATAACATTTTTAAGGACTTACAGGTGAAGACAGTATGAAAAAGGCCAAGGGTGTTTTTTAATAGACCATCTTTTGTCCAAAATTATTTTGGTCTAATGGTCAGTCATCCAGAGTGAGGTGAATTATTGAAGACCTCTCCCTGCAAAATACCCATACGACTCTGTTATTTCTAGGTTGTGGGCCCTGAACCAGACATGTTCCAAGCAGCTTTCCTCTGGAAACATCCATCAGCCATATTTGAAAAGTGCCCCCTTTGTTAGACTAACACTCCAGCATGGGACATCAGGACCTTCTGGCTCAGGCCTGCTATCCCTCCCGAGACATGGGAAGACATTTGAAGGGTCCTGAGACATAGAACTCCAGTATTCACTCAGAAACATGATGCTGAATGAAAGAAGCCAGACGCACAAGGTCCCATGTATGATTCCACTTACATGAAATGTCCAGTTGGCAAATTCATGGTCAGAAAGTAGATTAAGGGTTTCCAGGAATGGTGGGTGGAGGGGATGACTACTATCGGGCACAGGGATTCCTTCTGGGAAATGCTCTGAAACGAAATAGTGGTGATGGTTGGACACACTGTGAATGTGCTAAATGTCACTCATGGTGTTATGCTATGTTATCACGATAAAGAAAATAAAGAAATAAAAAAAGAGGATAAGCAAAATGAAGCTGTTGTGACAAGGGGTGCACAGTGGATGATACAGGGAAAAAGAGCAGAATCAAGGAAGTGGTCGCCACCAGGGCCCACATGACCGTTACTTACTGGACTTGGGGCAGGGGGCAGGGGCGCTTCTGAAATGGCAGCAAAATCCTGTTACTCCACCTGAAAGGTTCAGGAAAAAAGAAGAGAGAGAACAAAGGCCCTGGGTTTAGACATGAGGCTGCAAGGCATGTGTTGTGCACTGTCTGTTTTCATGTATGTATACCTGTGTTTGCTCCTGACCTTGTTCCAAGAAAGACTTAAAGGAGGCACTTCAAGAGCAACCTGACCATATGTCAGTCAGGCTCCTAAACTATAGTATTTGGCAAATAAAGTCAGGGAGCTTTTTGGCAAACACTAGGGAGTTCTAATGAGACCAGATCATGCAACCACCACTACATGAAAGCAGGAGATTAAATCTCTCTGCCACAGTGCTTTTAAATATTTCTTTATCATGAGCCAGGTTTTAATGGCACCTTAAATGTGAAGGCAAATGTTACAGAGATAAGCAAAGCATGTGTAATTAAGGAAAAATTACTGTATTTGCACATTTGAAGTTTTAGGGTAAGAATAGCTTTGGGTCATCTGTCAGGAGAAACACACAAAATCTAGGCAGTATATCTCTTATGGTAAATGTAGGCCACTTAAACTGAAATAATAAGAAACTCACAAATTTCAAAGGGAACAGGAAATTTATATGCATAGAATTTGCATCCAGGTGCAAGATGCTTAAGAGAGATGGAGGAAAAATCATAGACAAAACTACAAAGTCCAGACACTTGCTAAGGAGATGGAGGGTAGTTCTTTAAAAATCCGTGAACTTCTGCTTCCAGGAAGATGGTATAGGCTTACATTTCCCTATTCTCTGCTATGAACACCTAAAAACCTTGGGAAGAGTGGGCAAAATAACAGCAGAGTCACTGGAAAGGGGAAAGGAGGCTGCCACCCTAGAGGCCCCAAGAAAACAGGGTGCTGAGTTCCCTGGGTTTTGGGGGGTTGGTCTCATGTCCGAAAGTGGGCGCTGTAGGAGCCAACAGCCTGGCAACACAAGTGGACTCAAAGGACGCCCGAGCCTGCTCCCCAACCAGAGGGCAGGGGGACAGCTCCAGGCCGACGGAGCTGGTGGAGCCTGGGAACTGTGTCTGGTCCTCCAGCCCAGCAGTCAGCGGGCCTCGACGGTTTTGCAGTTGAAAATGAAAGTTCTTATTTCATTTCAAAACTGGATTCCATTTCCCTTTGACTCAGGGTTGGGGGAAACCAACAAAAGAGGAAGCAGAAAATCATGATCAGAACCTTTTAGACGGAATGGGAAGTAGTGGAGAAGTGTGCTCCTGTGACATGTGGGTCACTGCAGGGTGGAAGGCAACAGGGGGATGTGGTGCCCACTTGCCAAAACCTCCTGGGATGGAAAGGACACTGGGTGGGAAATCCCCCTAAACAGTTGCTCCAGCCAGCTCTGGACACCAGGTGAGGAGGTCAGAGGTGCCACAAATTCCAGGCATTGGATGTCAACATGCTGCCACATGCTGCCCTCGTGACTGTGCAGGGAGGTCTGCAGACACTGGCAGGAGGCCAGCGCTGTGCACAGGCCTGTCGGCCAGTCCCTTTGAGACTTGGGCTTCTGACCCTCTGTGCCCCTGCCTCCCACCTGGGAGGGGGAAGCTCCAGGAGTGAGGGGAGCTCCGAGCTGTGGCCATCCCGGCCATCGGCCCACAGGACAGGATGCCTGCTGGACCGAGGGGCAATGCAGAGCAGGCCAATTCCATAAACTGGGCAAATAAGCATTCTTGACCCCCTCGCGGCTCGCCCTTATTTCCCAAGTTGTATCTGGAGACCTGGGAGAAAGGAAGCATAAGGGGTTGGGTGCTGGGCAGTGATGCTGGCCGTGGGGTCCCCTGCCATGTGCACTGACATGTGGACTCGCCTGGCCAGGCCAGTCACTGTAGAACTGGCTCTGCTGTGCTTTTTCCTCAGGGACACATGGACATTCCCACAACCTAGACCTCCAGACCGCACCAGCAGCGGGCAAGCAAGTGACCAGACGCTCTTAGGGGGCAGGTGGGGAGCTCAGAGCAGCATCAGCCATACCGGGGCAGAACACAGATGTCACAGGGCTCAGCACCCCACTCTCCCAGGAGCTTCCGGAAATAGACAATCTAATTCATTTAAAAGAAATTTAAGTCCTAAAATAACTCAAGTATTATTTTCATTGAAAAATTGATCTCGTTTTGTTTTTGGCGAAAACACCTTCCTCGAGGCTGTTAGGGGCTCCTTTCAGGTTCGTAGAGAGGCCTCTGTCTGGTGTTTCTTCGTATTGTCCCCTGTTTCTGCTGACTGTCCCCTGGAGAAGCAGAAGGAGCCGGAACAGCGGGTCACCCCAGGGCACCCTGACCCTCCCGGGCTGGGCTCGGATGACCCGAGGCTGCAGCGTGACCTGAGATGTGACATCCACCCCCAGAAGGTCCATGTACCAATCCTGCTTTTAATCAAACACTGTTACCAGTTTTAGAGGTAAATTTATATATAGAAACCAGAAAAAAAGAAAAAAATATGAAAGAAATGTGCTGAAATCACATGTCTCATAGTTATATTGAAACTATGGAGAGCATCTTACTAATTTCTCATTTTCAAGATCTGGAAACATGAACATATGAGCAGCACATTTGGGGAAGGGACTTTAATAGGTTATAACACACTAGTGTGATGTAAAGAAAAGGGGGCTTTGCTCCTGAGAACTTGGCAGGCAGGGGCAGAGCTGTCCCTGGGCCTCAGGCCAGGCCTCCATCTGTGCCGGGAGCAGGGAGTCCGGCATGGAGGGGATGCGGCCGAGGTCCAGCGAGGCCCCAGCTGGCGGCAGCAGTGGCTTGTGTGGTAGGCCAAGGGGTGCCGTGGCCAAGGGGTCTCATCACCTCTGCGGGTCTCATGAACTGACACCTGAGTTCCAAGTATCAAAGGAATAATTATTGTGATAAACAGTAACGAAGACCCTACCCAGGCCCCAGGATGAGGGACAAAGGCTGTCACACCAGGGGGAGGTCGGGGCACCTCCACGCAGAGCTGGGCCTGCTGGGGATTCACAGCTGAGGAGCAAAGCACGCCTGGTGCCCAGGAATCCCAGGGGAGACAGCAGGCTGGGGGAGCCTTGCCCAGGGCAGCCTGGGGTGATCGGTATCCAGGGCGGGGAACCCCCCTAAACTGACCGACAGGATTCTTGCTACCACCGGACAGGGCAGGCCGAGGACAGGGCACAGGACCAGGCCTTGTGGGAAGCAGGCTCGGAGGAGCCAGTCTCCAGCTGGTCGAGGAAGAGCATATCCCTGGAGAACACCCACCTTGGGGGCAGTAGAAGGCGGCAGGCCCACGATGGAGTGCACGGCCCAGTGTGAGGCAGCCTAGCCGCGGAGAGGCAGGACCGCTGAGCATTTGCCTGAAGACAGGCAGCCCGGGGGGAGGGCAAAGGTCACAGTCTAGACCTGGTGTTCAGACTTCTTTAATCTCACTCACTCGGGTTTCTCTTTAGTACGGTTACTCCTGTAACTTATTTCACTAGCAATTTTGGTATTTCTCCATGAAGAATAGGACTTTTAACAGAAAAACCTAAGAATAGAGCTCTGTTTCCCATCTCTGTTTCCTACACTTTTCATAAACCTCATAATCGGGCATATTAAACAGATGCAGCACACGGCCCACCCACAGGCAGAGGAGCTGAACACATGGGCCCCGGCAGGGAGGGAATTCAGCCTTGGCCACGTTCCTCATTCGCTCAAGTGTCATGCACTTAGAACGGTGGTCTGCTGGTCATGCCACGCAGGACCACACTTCCCAAACTTTTGCCAGTCTGGAGCGCACAGACAGGAGGGCCCCACCCAGAATTTCTGGCCCAGCAGGTCGGGGGTGGAGGGTGATCGTTCACACCCTGACAAGTCCCGGGTGACCCGAGGATGCAGGTTTGAGCACAGTCTTCTCTGTGACCACCCCCAGTTCCACAGTTTACAGCGGCCTTTCCGCCCACCTTCCTGCTGGTGGTCGCCTTCTCTGCAAGCAACTGGCACCAGGGGCAGCAGGCTGGCTGAAAACAAAGGGCAGGCAGGTCTGACCACAGAGAGACTGGAGGAGAACCTGGGGGTAGAGTCCACGAGGACGGCCACATGGTTCCCAGGAGTGCGTGATGGCATCGCTGGTGGCCTTTTCAGAAAGAAAAGGAACATTCTCATCTATTCCTCGCCCTTTATCAGACTAGTGCAGGGGTCTGGACCACACTGGGCCTCCTACGTCTTCCACAGATGGAATATAGTTGCACTAAGGTCTCTCATGGGTGCCTTGCAGCAGGCAGAACAGAGGCCCGAGTCCTACTTGTGGCACCTGCCAAGACACGGCCTTGCCTAGCAGAGAGGCCTGGCTGATGCCCTAAGCCAGGGGTCACGGATGGGAGGTTGTCCCCGGTATCAGGCAGGACTCAGTAACCACAGGGCCCTAACGAGGCCCTGGAAGCAGAAGCCAGAGGAGATTTGACCATTCTGTGGCACTGGCTTTGAGAATGGAGGAGAGGCTGTGGGCTGAGGAGGGCAGGCAGCCTGTGGGAGCTGGAAGAAAGGATGGACCCTCTCCTGGAGCCCCGCCACCCATTTTAGAATTTGAACCTCTGGAGCTGTAACAAATGTGGGTGTGACAAAAGCCACTGGGGTGTGACAGCACGAGCAGCTGACTCTGGCGGCTCCCCGCCATGCACGTTCTGCAGATATCTGGGAGACTGGGGCACAGCCTGTAGCCACAAAACCCAGCCCTGTCACCTGGGCTGCCCAGCCCCAGGAGCAAACACTGGGAGCTGCAGAGACATCACGTCAACTGGAAATGTTTTCCAGGGACGTGCCGGCACTCAGCCCCGAGCAACGTGCTCAGCAGTACGGAGCCAGCCACTGTTTCAAATGTGGAGACACAGAGAGCATGGCGGAGCAAATGGTGGTCCATGCCGTTACTTGGCTTTTCTTAGCATTAAAGACAAACGTGAAGAAATTCCATTTTTTTAATCTATGGAAATATTATTATTCTAACCAAATTCAAATTATTCTAGTAATAAATTGAGTGTTCTTGTTAGACCTAAGTGGAATTTTATCTAAATCTAAACTTTAGGTATAACCAGTATAAATCAGTGCTATTTCTGAATGTTACCTTTTCATCCCCAAATGCAGGGGGCTTTTCTTCAGGGGGAGACCCCCTGTCCGTTGGTGTCCTCCCATCCTGAAGGCTTCCCGACAGAGCTTCAGCTTTATGCGCATGTGATTCTGTTTTCCCTGAGCTGACTCCTTCTATCTTTACACTTCCTGGCTGAAAATAAATGTGGGGGCACTTTTGCATTAACAGCAATCATATCATCCAAAAATACCAGTAAATACATCGTGCCGGCTATCAGGGAGGCCAGACTGTTGAGAGACTGTCTGCCCCACAAGTGCGAGCTGGTGAATCCTTTTCCATCTACAGCTGTGTTCTAGCGGGATTCCGGAAAGCTGTGACTGGTCCTGTAGGAAAGGTTTACTATCACAGCAAAATAAACTGCTCAAAACTGCATTTAAAAATGTATGATAGAAATGTATTTTCCCCTATGCTTTATTCAAAAAATGATGGTTTTGAGGTATGGATAAGCGAGTTATCCATTCCCTCAGACCCATGTTGGTTAAGCAAGTAAGTTGCCTGCATTTAATGCATTCCAGTGTAATTTGAGAACAAAGGGCGGCTGCGTTGCCAAGGAAACCCAAGAAACCACAGGGCCCATCCTGGGGCTTCAGATGCTATCTATGTAAAGGATGGAAAAAAGGTATTTTTCCTGCTTTTCATAAATGTTTTGGCCAGGAGATTCCAGATCCTCCTTCAAGGAATAAGACACTTTCTGCTCAGCAGTCTCCTTGGGAAACAATGTCAGGATGCGAGATCATCCTCAGAGTCCAGGGGTCTCCTCACCAAGTCAAGCCCAGGATGGGTGCCGGGTGAGGACGCAGGCAGGCTTCCCAGGCATGAGGGTGACACAAAGCTGGGGTGGGAGTAACATACCAGTTGGCAAACTACTCTAAAGAGGAGCTCATTTTAACAAGGAAAATGCAATAAAGACAAATAACGTCCTGCATTGAGACCCCAGAACCACATAGAGGAAGCCCATGTGGAAAGCAACAGGTCCATGCCACCTGGGGACCCCAGGAAACACCTACGGCTTTAAAGCCACAGAAACAGATGGCATGAGGCCACGTGGCCACTCCAATACCTGCCTTAGGCTGCCTCACTGGAAATGAAGCATGCAGCCCATGCTAGCCACCACCCCATGCTGAGGTGCCAGCCAGGCACTCCTTGAGGGCGCCCCAGGGGAGCAGCCCGGGATCAGGGCCCCGTGCTCCCCAGCACTGTGTGCAGGGACGCAGGATCCCATGCCAAGACAAGCCGTTGGGGTCCGTCCTGGACCCCTGCCTCCTTTTACAGATCAGCACCAAGGGTCACCTGCAAACAAGTTACGCTTTTGGGCAGCAGCCTTCGTCCTGTGACAGTCACGCTCTGCCGTCTGTGGCCCGCATTCCTGGGCTTTACTTCTTCGCCTGCTGACAGCGGTGAAACGTTTCCAAGAGCAGGATCTGAAACCTAAAAGGCAATTTATCATAAAGAAAATTCAGGGGGAATGTTCTCATTTCCTAAGGTATGGCAACTGTAAGATAAATTCAAATTTCAATCCATTCAATAAATATTGCAATGTCCTAGGGAAAAAATGGGGGTGCAAGGTGGACGAACATGGGTGTTTCTCCCCCCTCACAGTGCTGAAGAATCTCCGGGACACACGCCACAAACACCGGGCCACTGCTACTATTTCAAGATATACCCAGTTCCCAAAGGCAACATAGTAAATAATACCCAGATGTATTTCCTTGGATTTTGTGTCTTAATCTGAAAAAGAGCTTAAGGAGGAAATTACCTCTTTTGTTACCTCTCATGATTTAGCAGAGTGAAAATCAGCAGTTTATCAAAACCAAAAGCTTCCCTGCTCTAAAGCAAGCTCCAGACACAGCACGACCGGGAGGAATGTGCCCCTGAGGAGGGGAGGAGACTGGCCCCATTGCCAAGAGCTCATCCATGGCCGTGCACTTGCACCATGTGCTTGCGAGTGTCCCTAAAACTGTGCCGACACCTACACATATCTAAGAATGTGGGAATCCACGTTCCTGTCCTGTTGTCTTCAAATCAGACATGCCCTTTCGAGAGCACGTGCTGTCCTTAGAGATAACCCATGACCCATGCCCAGTACCAGGCCCAAAGCCCACAGATGTTTGGAAATTCCCCAAACACAGGAGCTCAAAGTAAGAGAGAAAGGGTGAGGGGGTGATGTCAATCATTGTGCCCTATTAGAAATATCCTAACCCCTTGACCTACAGTTAAAAGTTTACCCAATAAATGCAGATAAGGAATGTTAGTACTTTCCTTAATCCACTAGAAAATGGCCCAACCATATGTTTTGAGGTTGTTTACGAAGTTTCATCCTGACAACGCTACACAGAACTTTAATGATTGGAGTTGTCTGGATACATATGTGGGAACTAGAATACGGGGGGGGAGCCGCAAAGCCCTGGCTGCTCGGTGACCCTCAGCACCTTGTCCCCGCCTCTGCCTGGACATGGAAGCCGGAGGTCACATCGGAGTGGGCTGATGTTTACAGGATGCCGCTGCTCGGCTGTGGGAATGCAGACCCTTCACCTGGAAGTCTGGTGGTCGGGACTTCAGTTCCACGGAGCTGCCTGGTGTGGACAGAGCGCCCTGAGAACCTGGGAGCTGGTTCTGCCCCTGCGGTGCAGCAGCCCCGTGACCGCGCATGGCTTAGTGACAGAATCCATCTCTTGGGTCATCTTAGCGGGTCAAGAGGAGCTGTGTGCAGGCCGGCCTGTGCACACTGGGAAATGTCTGCTGCTGGCGGAATTAGAGGTCTAATTCCAGGAATTAGTGGGCAGGAGTGCCAGTGAGGCCTGGCTGATCCCATTTGGTTATGCGTCTTTTTAGGAAATAGAGTTGGTAAGAGCGAGTCCCCCGCCTCCTGGAGGGTGCAATTGGCTGCAGTGGCCAGTGACAAAGTGCGCCTTTACTAATGACCCTGCTCTTTAGTAAAACAGAACAGCCTTGCGCACAGGAGTGTCTGGCTCTCTGCTCGTGTGAAGGGAGGCTGCTGAGGCCTCACCGGCTTCCCAGCGCCCAGACCCCCAGGCTTGCAGCCGCCGGTACAGCTCCTGGTTCTGCATCATCAGGGCGTGTATCTGGGTCTGGAGCTGGCTATGAGCCGTGGACCAGCACGACTCCTGCCTGCCCACCTCCTCCTGAGGTTTGGCAACCTGCCACTGTAGTTGCTGTTGTGCGGGAGACAACGCAGGACTCAGACGTCACAGCAGGGCCCAACTCTGCTCCCAAACCCTCCACCCTTGCAGGCGCAGGGCCAGACATCCCCCCCAGGGAAGAGGTCGGAGGCTGACGTGTAGGCACACCTATGCCCACTCTGCCCCCTGGCACTGGCAGAGCTGTCTGATCACCCATGGATGGGACGCCCCCATGAAGGGGCAGGGGACTCGTTCCCATGAAACACTGCAGACCACGCAGGGCATCGCCTCTCACCACACTCGCTCAGCTGCCCTTCCTGGAGGCTGCGTTTCCACAGACGAGGCTGGTGGCAGCCCAGCAGCACATGTTCCCAGCAGCCTCTGCTCCCTCTGTGTCTGTGTCACAGTATTGCAAACGTTTTCATTATCGTTCGTCATGTTTGCTGCAGTGACCAACCACGACCTGCCAAGGGCCCAGATGATGACTGGCATTTTCTAGCACTAAGGTACGCTTTAGCTAAGGTATGTACATTGTTTGGTAGACAAGATGCTATTGCACACTTCAGAGACCACAGTACAGTGTAGGCATAACTCTTATGTCCGCTGGGAGAGCAAAAGTTTCATTTGACTCAGCTTATTGCAATATTGCTTTACTGTGGTCTGGAACCAAGCTCACAATACCTCCAAGGTTGCCTTCTTTCTTTCTTATCTTATCCTTAAGGCAGGGAGTTAAACGCATGAGTTTTGAAATGGTTCAAACCTAGACTGCAAACCCGGCTTCACTGCTAGCTTGCTGTGTGACCCCAGGTTAGGCATCTAACCTCTCTGAGTCTGTTTACTCTTCTGCAAAATGGTGATACAAATGACCTCAGACTGCTTTTTTGAGAGTTGAAACCTATTCTGCATGTGGACCACCCAATGCAGAGAATGGATTATGCAGAGTAAATGTTAGTTTTATTTTTGCATTTCCTTCATTCAATTATGCCCATACTAATGTCACACTGCTTTTCATGTTAATATACAAAACAGACTTCAAAATAAAATAAATATTGACTCAAGAAAGGATATGTTCTTTGTTTATAAGAATCGACATTGTTTTCAGGAAAGATATTAACCTGCCTACATTAAAAACAATTCAGTATGGAACCTTAGAATAAAGAAAACACGTTTAAAAACTCTAAAACTACAGGAAAGTATTCTCCTTTTATAGAGATTACTTCTGAAAAGCAATTAACATCACATTGCAAATTAATGATTAGAAGGGAAAATTACATCATCTGAGAAGGAATTGGTGATATTATCTCTCACTTTATGCTAGAAACAGTGGGAAAGTAATTGCATTTGCATTTTAAATTAAATTAATATCCCTCCCACCCCAGAATCATCCTAATAATAGCAAAGAGAAGCCTGGCACTGCAGGGCTTCTGGGTAGAGGTGAGAGGGTGGCCAGGAGCCAAAGAACTTGGAGTGATTCTCCAACAACCAAGCTGTGTCACCTTCCCCACAACAAATCACATGTGGGGTGTTTCGGGTGGAACCCAGAGGGAGAGGCAGGGAGCTGCAGAGCTCCCAGTGGAGAAGGAGCCCCTCCAGTTGAAAGCAGAGGGGAGAAGGGGAGTGCCACCCCAGGCCGCTGCATGGCCTCCTGCACAAGGCCCACACAGGGAGCCACACTTATCCTAGTGCCCAGACCAGTGGAGACACCGGGGTCGCAGGGATTCAGGGACAAGGAGCCCATTCTGACTTTTCCCAGGAAGATGGGCACGGAATTCACAGCCATGCCCACATCCGCTGCTCACAGTCACAGGGCAGATGGCGCTCGGATAGGACATGGGGCTTTGGTGGGAGCGGAGAGAGCAATGATCACTGCCCCAGGGGTCTGCAAGAAGCTGATAAAGCTCTGGAAGTTTGGGGGGATGATTCAAGTCTTGTAAACATTCTGATTTTTTTAATCAAGTGTTACGTTCATGTGCCTTCTCTTGGATTAGGGCAGCTAAGCTGAAATATTAACGTTTTCTTATTTCCCCATCCTGTCTCACATCTATCAGACCCAAAGCTGTAGAGGGGGAAAGAACTGTATGCCCTCCTAGAAGGAAGTGGAGTCACGACCTCCATGTTCAGGCATCACTGAAGTGGTCCTGCACCAGGAAGAAGGCGGGGGACATCCCCAGGCAGGTTGGGGAGAGGGGCCCTGCTCACCAGCATCTCGTCGGCCCTGCAGTGTCCCCCGGAGAGCCTGGCCAGCTCCTCAGGGTCTGCCTCGGTCCCGCCGTCCTCTGGGCAGCCCGACTCTGTGGGCTGCTGGGCCACGAGGTCAGTCGGCATCATTCTGTGTGGAGAAGGAGGCTGTGCACTCAGCAGGTGGGGTGAGCAGGTGCCCTTCATCCGGGCCTCCAGCTGCTCACTGCACACAGCTGGCCCAAGGCCAGGCTGCCTCAGAGCCAGGCCATGTCAGCAGGAGCTGGGACACTCGGCCCCTTCATCAGCACCAGCCGAGCAGGCTCCCGGCCTGGAGCCCCCATGCGGGCCCAGCGAAGCAGGACATGACTTTCCTCCCATGCCCAGGGGTGGCTTGGGTGGTGGAGGAAGCCACCTGGCAACCAGCTCCTGGAGAGATGGGACACGCCGTCCCTGGCCACTCGCCTCCCCAGAGCACATGGGGCGGGGCTGCTCCTGCTCCCAAGCTGCAGGCCTGGGGCAAGAGGACACGCCTGCGGGGCCAGGCCTCTGGGCGGAAGATGCAGGGCTGGAGACATCTTCCCGAGGACAGCGTCTGTGCTGGCTACACAAAGTTCACGGCAATTCAAAACAAAAGCAAAACCCAAACCCAGAGGTTCCCCAAAGCGTGAGGTCCTCTCAGAAGCCTCTGCCCCAGCTGACTCCTCCTGCTGCTGCTGTAAGGGAGCCGGGGTCCTCATCAAGAAGAGGCCCAGGGCTGACTCAGAAGGAGACAAGGGGCTCCTCCTAGCAGGACGGGGGACTTGGGGGCAGAGTGGATTTCCGAAGACAACTCAGATCATAACAAAACTTCCCCTGTGTGCAAGAGAAATGTATTCGTAGGCTTCAAACTATATAAAAGTTTTAGAGTGAACAATCTAACCGCAGCAATAGGGAAATAAACTGCTTGCAAGCATTTATCTCCTGATGAGAGGTGAGGCACCAACAGCAAAGGCACTAACAGCCTGAACATGCTTCCGTACCTCGTGGGTTTTCCAGAAGCTTCATTTGGAAGTTGGCTTGAGCTTATGATCCAGGAACCCTGAAAGAGGCACATGGTTCCCATTTCTCTGAAATAGTAACTATCGCAGAGTCCTTGATCACCAAGTCTCACATCCCTCAGTCCGGGGAGGACCTCATCTCTCAGCCCACCAGCCAGACTTGGCACCTCTCCTTGTCCACAGTGGTCGCCTGGGCCCAGATCCTGGGCCTCCAGCCGTGTCCCCCTGCCATTGCTCCTGACCCCTTGCACCCCATCTGAAAAACCAGGGACAATGGATCGATTCTAAACTGACTCCCTTTCTTAAAGGGGCATACCCTCTCCACACTCCCCAGCACCCTATCCAGGGGCACCATTTCATAAGCTTAAATTAGAGTGACATGTTTATGAATATGTGATTTGAGTACAGTAAGCTCACAGTCAGTGGACTATATCTACCCACATAGGGAATTGGGAGATGAAAATCCCCCCACCCAACAACTAACCAAAATACTTTGCTTTGTGTTTACATCAAGTGTTCCATATGCAAGGTACAGGAGGAACTCATTTAGCACATATTCTTGAAGAAATAGAAACTGTCTTTTGATGTTAGAACAAAATATTTGCCAGAAGAGATGTTTTTCATGAGGAAAACATAAGATATGCAAGTTTAAATCAAGAAATGATTCAAAATTTCACCATTTCTCAAAATGCCTCTCCATCTAAATTGTCCGTACGATTTCTGTGATAATGGAGAAAATTAAGAGTAGATAGTATTGTGTTTACACTAATCAAATATTTAGGTAGTCAGCATAAGGAACCTTTTGAACATGCATGCATTCCACACCGTGTACAACGTGACCCCAGGGCCCTCAGCCACAGCCGCACCGCGGGACACAGTTCCCCGGCTCAGAGGCTGACGGCCCTGCTGCCCAGATGTCCAGCAACCAGCCCCGTTCCAACTGCACAGCTCCGAGCCCACACTCTCGTCATCTCGGCCTTGTTAGCCAGGGGCAGCGTGTGCCTGGTGCCCCGGGTGGTGCGCCCGGTGTCCACTGAGTGTGGACAGCCCGGGGAGGGCATGAACCAGGAGGCTCCTGGGGGCAGACAGACGGGATCCCTGGAGTCGGAGGCCCTGCCGGGCAGGAAGCACTGGCTGGTAGCTCTCCCGGCTCCGCCAAGATACACCTCCATGCATTTCTGCCACTTTATGCCGTATGCTGACGCGTTTCCATTTCACTACCTTACCAAGCCTTTTAACGAACAGCTCAAAGCCCAGCCTTCACACCTGGGAAGGGGCACAGTCACCAGGAGTCTGTGTCCACCTCCCAAGGCCCACAGCAGCAGCAAGCGGCAGGGACGCAGACCGGAGCAGGAAAGCCGGAGCTGGCAGGGGCTCCCAGGGAGGGGCCGGGCGGGGGGTCAGGCTGCGTCTGCCGTGAGGGGCGGCTGTGCCTGACACTGTGCTCCTTTGCAGAGCCTCGGGTCCTGGTGGGGTTACGGGCTCCAGAGGGCTGGCAGCAGCTAAGGAAAGTCCTCATGTAAAGGCAAACAGAAACCCGGATGCCTCAGATTTAGTCTATTTCCTTAGTGGAAAACATTAAAGATACACACAAATTGGGCTTGGGCTTATGTGAGAAAAGCCTTAAGGAGTTGCTTAACTTTAGCTGAGTTGTTTCTTACTCCTCCCATGGATCCTGAACGTGGCGGTGCACATGAAAGGGGAGCTGAGCTGTGGTTTTAATATTGCAACTATTTGATGCTAAGATATGTGTTAAAAATATTCACATTCAGTAAAAAATACTGCTCAAGGACAGAGAATCTCTCACCCATTTTTAAGGAAGGAGAAGTTGAAGCAGGAATAGGTCTTTCGTTTCCTAAGTTAGTAGAAACCAGGGACCACGATGTTGAATCTCTCACAAGGAAACAAGGCAGAGCTGCAGAGAGAACTTTCTGCAAAGCAGCTGCCCTGGATTCTGCAAACACATTATTATGGGAAAGAGAAAGAAGGCAGGTGGGGCTGATGTGGCGAGTGGGTCTGAGTGAAAAGGAAAATGAGACCAGGTCGGTACACGTGATGCCCGAGGTAGGTTGGACCCTGGGTCTGAATTAGAGGCGAAGGAAGAAAATGAGCATAAAGACATTCCAGGGACAATGGGGAATGAACAGGGACCATCTGATGTCACCAAACTGTATCTAGTCAAAGGCACCCAGCCTGAGACTCACGCTGGTTAGGAGACTGTCCCTGTCTTAGGGGACACACATCGGAGCACCTGAGGGCCATGGAGCCTGGGATCCAGATGATCTGATGAAATGTGCACACACATGCCACGTGGACCTGCACGCACATGTGTGTACAAACAGAGAGACAGAAAGACAGAGAAAGAAACAGAGACAGAGACACAGAGAGAGACACAGAGACAAGATATAGAGATACAAAAACAGAGACAGAAAGACAGAGACAGAGAGAGAGAGGGAGACACTGAGACAGAGAGCCCACAGCCACAGTGGTGCAAGATTGAATCAAGGGGAGGTCCATGGGTGGTGGTTGTATTATTACCCTTGATCTTCTTCTGGGTTTGAAATTTAAAAATAAAACACTGGAAGAAAAAGCTTTGACTTTGTAAATATCAAAACAGCAAATAAGTCTTTAAAAAAAAAGGGACAGATGCTCCGTGAGTGGCTGATCTCTTCAAAATTTCACAGAACCTCTCCTTTCAGTGGTGAGCAGTATAATTTGATAAAGAGAAACCATTATAGTAGATCAGGCTTTAAATTTCCTTATTATGGTAAAAAAAAGGAAATGGGAAAATTATTTTTAACATCTATTTTGAGAGTGTACCTATGAGAGAAAGAACTAGAAAAGGGCAACATAAAGGGCATCTCTGTGTCTAGTTTGATCATGCAGTTCATTCCATTTAAATTCCTTCCTGTGAGTTTTTAAACCATAACATTTTAAAATAAAAGGCAACTATGTTCACCTACTATTAATATGCAAAGCTGACAAATGCATTCAAAAATATTCCTGCAGTGAACAGAAGCCTCATGCTTTTCCTGATAGCAATACAGGGACCCTTCCCTGACACCTGACCTTGGGCGCACATCCTGCTATCTGGTCACTTTTTCCTGGATTGCTTGACATAAGGCCTGGATGCAGCCATGTTTGAGAGCGTGTGGTATAGAAAAAGAAAGCCTTATCAGACCTGGCCTCTACACAAAAGGGTTATGTGATCTTAACACAGGAGTTGAACTCTTTTTATTACCCCTTCTAGGTCTAAGTTCTCAGATATGGGTGCCAATTTGTGACACAAGGGTGAGGCCTTCTATACATAGTAACACATCTATATACTTTTCCTAAGTCAGCCAGCCAGAACCTCAGGACTGGCTGCTCGTCATCATGGGAGTTGGCAGGTGCGCTTGAGCATCTCGCGGTCCCATCAAGGATGACAGTTTGAGGAAGGTGCACCATACAGACACGCTTCAGCAAAATCTAATCTCTGCTTTAGCTATAAATCTTCATATAAGACAGAGATTTCTGCATTATGTGATGCTTTCGTAAATCTATTTGATGACTCATACTTGCCTTCTCAGAACTCTGTCAGCCAGAACTTTCTGCATAGTGCAAAAAAATAAGAACTAATGTTGGTCTTGAAATACTGTGAAATCATGCACTTTCTGAGTCATCAGTGAAGCAGAAAACTTCAGGCAACATGGATTTGTTCTATTTGTCATCACCTTCTAACTCCCAGGATGTGGATGGATCAGCATCCTCATGGAGGGCCAAGGGCAGACGTAAGACACCGTCCCTGGTGTAGGAGGACTTAGGACACAGTGGGGCCCAGGGCATCTCAGCTACAAAGAGCTGGTCAGCATGCTGGCCAGAGCGTCCCGTGCCAGGGCAGATCCTCAAGGCCTTGAGCGGGGCCTGGTCTCTGCAGGGTGAGAGGATGATAAAGGAGGGCAAGGAGGTGCTCCAGGGGCACAGGGAATGGGACGGAGTGGTGGGGCGGCTCAGATATTGGTCCTTCTCAAATCCAGGCATTCAGCCCTGGACCTGACATGATAAACAATGGGAACATTTAAGTTTGGGCTGGTAAAACTGATGTTGGCCCAAGTATGTACATCACTGCAAGAGGAAGGGCCTGAGCAGCAGCCCCAGTGACCAGGGCACACAGGGTGAGGTCTGGGCTGTGGTGCACATCTCCGGCGTATGTAGAAACCATGGTCCACAGAATAACGGTCCCCAGAGATGCCCACAGCCTAAGCCCTGGACCTGTGAATATGCACCTCACATGGCAAAAGTGACATTAAATTGATCAGATCAAGGTCTTGAGATGGGAGATTATCCGGGATTATCTGGGTGGCCCCCTGAAATCACGAGGGTCCTTTAAGAAGGCGGGAGGGTCAGAGTCAGCAGGACTTGGAGGTTGGAAGAGGCTGTGCTCTCACTAGAGGAAGGAGGGGCCCCCAGCCAAGGAGGAGACAAGGGCGCTGCTCACCTGGAGCCTCTGAGGGGAGTCCCCACACCCTGGCTGCAGCCCTGGGAGACACTCTGGACTCTGGCTTCCAGCTGGACAAGGAGTCACACAGGTTGTTTTAAGTCACTAAGTTCGTGGGAATTTGTTACAGCTGCAACAGGAAACACATAGAAAAATCACGAGGAGACTCCTTTAAATGAGCCTTTCCAGGACTTACCCACAGAAATTCCGATTCTTCAGGTCAAGTGCCTGACTTACTGTGACTGGGTCCCCAGAATGGCAATTTGAGAGAAGGTGGCTGGTGGAAAGTAATGGTCAGGAAGAAGAGTAGATACGTGCATCTGGACAAGGATGGGGCACAGGGGTGGAGTCTGTGAGCTCCTGGCAGCCAAGGAGCGGTGACCGGGAGCTATTCTGGTTTCCAGCGGGATGGAGGGGACGGACAGTGTCTTCCTGCAGACACCCAGGGGCCGAGCAGGATGGTGCTGGCCTCCCTCAGATGTGGTGCTCTGCGGGCTGGCCCACCAGATGCCCACCAGATGCCTACATGCAGGTGTTGGGGACCTGGGCCCCGTGGGCAGCCGGAGCATCACTGCAGGCACAGAATGAGGGCAGGCTGTGTGTGTGATAGCTGCAAGGAGGGAATCAGATGAAGCTGGAGGGAGAGAAGAGAGGGTCCTGGGCTGGGACTGCAGAGTAGGGGTGGGGGTGGGGGTGCTGGCTCCCAGGGCGGCAAGCAGGCAGGAACTGGGGTGTCCACAGGGCCACCTGCAGCTGAGACCTCCTGGAACTGCAGGGGACTTGGCCAAGGTCAAGGCAATACATCTCCAGGACATTCAGTTTCCCCATCTGTGAAATGAGAGATGTAGGTTAATTTCTAACACCTCACCTGCTGTAAAAACACTAAGGTCCTCTGATTAAGTAGAAGGATCACCTGCAGCTAATGAGGCCCACTGAGAACAACATCTGAACGTGCACCGGCTCCTCTGCCTAACGGGTAATCCCCTTACCAAGAACGATTTGATTAACTGGATCATAACATTCTTCAAACACACCGGAGAACGTCCAGTAGCACAGCCAAGATGTCTTAGCTTGGGTATAATTTAAGGTGTCTCCCGCCTCCCCCATTCCACTGAACATCTCAGGTTGAAGAGCCCAGCGCATCCTGAATTAGGTCCCCTGTGAACACTGGCTCCTCTTTCCTTTCTGTTGTAGGACTCAGGCATATCGGGTGAGTATCTGCCCTGGTGTAAGGTCCACTCTAGCAAATGCAAAGCCATGGAGATCGCCACCCCTGTCCCCTGCCTCTTTATCAAAGCACTGCTGCAAATTAGCCTCATTTAATCCACAGCCAAGAAATTTCAGTAACAGCAGATGAATCACTACCAAAATCTGCCACCTGCAGGGAGTCCTCGGTAAGAGACGGCAGGTGGCACTTGACTGGCCACACCCAGCGTGCTGACAGGATGCCACCCAACTCTGAGCCCCGTCTCCAACTGACAGTCTCTGCCTACCTCTGCTGACCACCACAGAAAGGCATCTGTAGTCCCACATTAGCGGACAAAAAACAAAGTGCAGAATGAAGTCTTTTAAACCAAAGTACAGAGTGTGTGGAGGCAAGAAGATCTTATTCTACATATTTGACTTTATTTTCTTACCCCTTATTCCCTCCCATTGATCTTTCCAATTGTGCATCAAGATGGAGTTGTTTTAATTTTTATAACTTAAGAATACATTGTAATATCCAATTCAAAAAAGCTCTTGGATACTTTTACTTAGTCTTCCAAAAAAAGATACAAAAACTTCTGAAGCTTTAAGCAGAATCCTGCACACCCTGCCTGCCCGCATTCAGTCAACACTCCTTCCCACCTTCCCCTTCAAGTTTCCGCTCACAGTGTCACCTCCCTAGGCCTTCACAGGTCATTCAGTCATCCGCACTGTCTCCCCGGGTCTCTTAGCACCCACTTCTACCTGGCAGGTCTGTTGCCTGGATACAACGGCACCCGGAGGGCCAGAGTGGGATTGGACGGGGGCAGCTGCTCCACAGATTTATTGAATGAATATACAAACAAGTAACACATTAAAAACTATGTTTCACACACAAAAAAATCAGGAATGCCATTTTTTTATATCGATTAAATCAATCTCTCCAGTAACAAACTAAAAGAACAGCTTTAAAGACCTGGCCTGCTTACCGGCACTGTGGGCTACCCGCGTTCACTCTGCCCACATCTTCCTCTCACACGGCCACATGGAAGGTCTAGGGATTTTCCATCATTCTGAGTCAGGAACTCTATGTTTAATTGTATCCTGTAGTGAAAAAAAATGAAGATAAGAATAAAAATCTTTTTTTTTTTTTACTAAGAAGAGCATTTGTACACTTCCTGGTTTGGCCCAGTGTTGCAATTTGAGTACAGTTATACAACTTCCATTAAAATTTTATTTTTATAGGATTAAATATTTTTCTTTAGGAACGTGTTTCCAGTGGTTTCCTCCCCAGGCCCTCCCAGGCCGCAGCCATGAAATGCTGCCACCTTAGTAATTCTCTTTTGAGACACTCACAGTGTAGGAATATTCTGAGGTTGCTGCAATTCCTTTACACCAAGCCACAGACTCAGTCCACAACCGGGACCACAACAGGACTCTGCCGCATCTGACTTCCTTTTCTAAATTCGTTGTCTTTTTCTTGGAAGTGACCACAGGTCCTTTCTTCTAAGGCCACCCTCCCCAGGGCCAGAGGGGAAAATAAGACAAGAGAAGGGCAGAGTGACCCAGTCCTAGAGGTGGAGTGGGACCACAGCGAGGAAACAGACACTCCCCTGGAAGAGGGGAAGCAGGCGGGCAGAGATTGGGGATCCCTTGGATATGGGAGCAAGAAAAGAAAACGAAATGCAAGAGCTTTTGAGTCTACAGGAAAGCCACTAACCACAGCTGGGAAAACCATCAGCCCTCCCAACACGAAAGATGCAGGTCACAGCTGGGCACGCCCATGCCCGCCCATCTCCCAGAGGCCCTTGCCCCGCCCTGGCCTTGCCCTGGTGCTCAGCTGCCTGCCACTTCCTCCCCGCGCATGCCTCTGCTCCCACCCTCCCCTCCCCAATCACACCTGCTATGTAATCTATCACGCATCCTTCCAAATGTTTGTGCCGCTCACTGGCCTCCCTGTTGGACTATAAGGCCCTTAAAGTTAGCAAGTGTTATTAGCGTTATGAGTGACACTAACTATGCTCTAAATTTTTTGAGTAAGTTTAAGTGTGTCCTGAAGAATTGAACTTTGCTCAAAAGAAGTTCTGACCTTTGCTGTCAGTGGCTAGGGGGTCACCTCCCAGCCCCTGGAAGGCTATGTCTGGTAGAAGTACCTTGGTTTGCCCAGGGGGCTCTGGGCCAGCCAGATGGTAAAGGGCAATGTGGGGAAGGGCTTTAGGTCACACACCATCAGCTGGGCCTCCATAGGGGCTGAGACTGAGATCACCATGTGCACGGTCAGCCACGCCTACTGATGGATCCCAAAAGACTCTGAAATCTACGGCTCGAGGGGCTTCCCTGTGCATGTTGTCACAGCTGGACCCGGGAAACCAGCACTGTCCTGGGAGGACAGCAGAAGCCACATTTATTACCTTCCTGGACTCTTGCCCATACACTGCCTCCCTCAGCTGATTCTCATCTGTGTCCTTTCTCCTAACAAAATGTAACTATGAATATACAACAGTCAGGGAGTTCAGGGCCCTTCTAGAGAATTACCAAAGCTGAGAGCAGTCTTGGAGTCCCCCACATTTAGAACTTGTGTCCAAGAGGAGGTGGTCTTGTAGGAACCATCCTATCCCCACATTTGGCTAATCCCAAAGCAGGTAAGAGGAAAATCTAAGTCATAGTATTTATTCAATCTTTACAAAAGTCCTCTTTCTTGTTATTTTCAGACATGAAACAGAAACTGGAAAGAAAAATGGACATAATTAAATTTGTGTGTTGGTTTGAAGCAATGATTTAGTTTTCATTTAATTTGGGGGAGCAGATGTGTAAATAAATATGTGCCATAAAAAATGAAATGAGAACAGTGAAGTTTCCTAAATGGAAAGGTTATTGAAGAAATAGCAATGATGACTGAAAATAAGAGTTTCTGGGGAAAATAAGATTTAATAAAACAAGATCCCTAAGGGAGAGACTTAAGTAGTGTATTTCTAAAAGACAGGAAATAAAGAGAAATTCAGTCTTTTTAGAAATAAGAAAGATAAATCAGCCGACTGAGAAATAGAAGCAGAATATTTTTCATTGTGTAATTTTTATTTCCTATACTTAAGTAGGAAAACATGGAATTATTCATGTTTGTGTTACCTATTAAGCTAGAATTTCTATAATGTAGAAAGTTTTTGGTATAAATGAATCTGTTATTAAGGGGCAGCTTTAACACGTTGAGAGAAACACTTACGTAACTTCCGGCTTCCCCGAGGAGCTGAGCCAGGTGCCAGCTCTTCCGGCCTCACCGTGCCCTGACAGCTCTCTGAGAGATGAGAGACGTGTTCCCCAGCCTTCCCTGACCCGGGACTCGTGGCTGGAGTTCATCCTCTCATGTTCCCGGGGAACTGTGTATAATGAGCGTGAAGTTGGCACGCTCATCGTGGAGATACCAGGTGGGGCATTTCCACAATTTCAGGTGCTTGGAGGGCTGTCCAATTGCCCCTTCTTAGGAATCAAACAGGCAGATGAATCTCCGTGACACAGGGATGGGGTGACATGCGGACTGATGGTCCAGTTGGAAAGAAAAACTCTGATAATACTAATGTAAGAAGAAAACAAATCAAACTGCTTGAAAAGGCCTGCAAATCAATAGCCCCCATGGGCTCCTGGAGGTGTGGGCTCTACATGAGCACAGGAGCGAAGCTGCGGCCTGCCGGACATCAGAAGAGCAGTGTGCTCAGCCCCTGCGCCCCGCCCGCTTGTGCACTGTGACCTCGAGCAAACCACCTGCCCTCTCTGTGCCCCACTTCACCGTCCCAAAGCTTGAAGTTGTGCTGACCTCTCCTCACTGGGATAACACAGGTGAACACGTAACCGTGCCTGATACGTGAAGAACGTGCAGCCAGCTTTAGTAATGGTTGGTGTGGGAGTTTTCAAAGCTCACGGTCAGTAGCGGGTAAGGTAACTGATTCATTCAGCATCTATTGATCGACGCCCATTCATTGCCAGGCATGTTCTGCCACCAGCACCCAGAGCGTGTCCCTGGGCTTGTGCAGCTAACACTCCTGATATCTGTGCGCCTTGACAACCCACCAGCTGTACTCCACTTCCAGGGCCTGCGGAGGTCCCGTGTCCGGGTCTGAAGCCAGGGAGTGTAGGAAGAAGGGAAGGCTCCTCAGCAGAAAATAAACTTTGACAAAATTTCAGGACAAGAGAAAATGGCCCACTATGAAGTGACCAGGCCATCCCAGACCCTCTCCAGGTGAATGCAGGACCTTATTCTGACTGCCAGCGTGGGAGGTGCAGGCCCCAGCAGACGGGTCTCTGCAGAGGCCCCTTGTATGGAGAGAAGAGGAGGGCTTCCCCACGAAACGTGTTAGAACCAGCAAAGCTCTTCTTGCCTCAGTCATAATTCTGATTGTATAAAGTCTTGGTGTTACTGACATGTCAAGTTCCTTCTGCAACAGCCGTGCCCGCTCAGCCAGACGTTCTCAGGACACTATCGCTTCGGTTTGGCCCCAGATGATGTGAAGTGAAACATAATTTCCCCTTTTTCAGGGCAAAACAAAACTGCAAGGGTTTTTTCCCTGCGCCTCCCCCACCCCCTTACCCCAAACAGACTTTAGTTTGCTCCTGACTTTGTTCTGACAGCGGTTCAGGATTTCTCTTTCTGGGGAAGTGCAGAGCTTGCGTGCTTCTGCTGCAGGAGGGACGCGCCCGAAGGCCCGGCTGTGCCTCCACCGCTGCAGAGTCGGTGGTGGCGGCAGGACCGCAGCGACATGCCCCCGCCTAACTGCTCGGTGCACAGTGGCCCGGTGGAGGTGTCGGTGGCCGCGCTGCTGGCGCTGGAGTGCGGACTCGGCCTCCTGGGCAATGCCGTGGCGCTCTGGACGTTTTTCTTCCGTCTGAAGGTGTGGAAGCCCTACGCAGTCTACCTGCTCAACCTCGTGGTCGCGGACCTGCTGCTGACCTTCTGCCTGCCCCTCCACGCCGCCTTCTACCTGAGGCACCGGACGTGGAGCTTTAGGCACGCGTCTTGCCAGACGCTGCTGTTCCTGCGGGCGCTCAGCCTCAGCGTGGGCATCGCCTTCCTCACTGCGGTGACCTTGGACAGGTACTTCCGGGTGGTCCACCCGAGGCTCAAGGTCAACCTTCTGTCCCTTCGGGCAGCCCAGGGGATCTCAGCCCTTGTCTGGCTTCTGATGATCGGCCTCAACCACCAGAGCTTGTTCGTGCCTGAGGCTGGGTGCCCCAGTCTGGAACCCAGGGGAGAACTCTCCTTCAGCATGATTTGGCAGGAAACTCTCTTCTTCCTCCAATTCGTTTTTCCCTTCAGCCTCATCTTGTTCTGTAATGCCGGGATCATCAGGACCCTGCAGAGGAGGCTCCGAGACCCGGATAAACAGCCCAAGCTGCAGAGGGCGCAGGCGCTGGTGGCCACCGTGGTGGTGCTGTTTGCACTGTGCTTTCTACCCAGCTTCCTGGCCCGGGTCTTCGTGGCCGCCTTCCGAGGGGTGGGCAGCTGCCGGGTGCTGGGCGCAATGGTGCACACATCCGACCTGGCCGGCAGCCTGGCCTCCCTGCAGAGCGTGCTGAACCCAGTGGTGTACTGCTTCTCCAACCCTGCGTTCAGACACTCCTACCGCAAAGTCTTCAACACCCTCAGAGGCCGGGGGAGGGAAGCAGAGGCGCCCGGCTGTGACCCCAAAGACTCCTACTCCTGAGGCCAACTGGCTCCCTCCACCGTTTTCAGGAGCCACCTGGGATGTGGGCAACAAGGACCATTCATTAGGATTCTGCAGGACGTGGAAGTCTCGAGGCTGCCCTGCAAATTTTGGACAGACTCGGGCACACATGCAGAAGTCACTGCCATTACATTATGGACCAGCCAGTCAAAGCGAGCACACCAGAGCCTCCTTTCTGCACAATGTGAAGCAGGCTTAATTACTGACCTGACAGCCAGGTGGTCATGGTGTGTGAAAGCTGGACGGTGGCCCTGTTCCAACTCCATGTGCTCTGGCAGGTCATCCTCATTTTCTTTGCTTCAGTTTGTAAATGCAGACAGATTGCTTTGTTCTCAGCTGTTGCACAGACTTGTGATTATTGATATGGGAAAGTGGAGATCTGGAGCCTGAAGAGAGGCCCCGGGCATGGAAGTCACTGTACTCCATGCCTCTCTGTGTAGCACATAATGTTCCCTGTTTTATAAGCTTTTGTTCATTATCACGGAGCACGCATTATGTCAAAGACAACACAGTTCCCTAGTTTATGATAAGAAACATTTTCTTATTCAATTTCTCAAAATTGCCTCTAGAATTTTCTTAAGTTTGAATGTTTAAATGCTTTTGAAACTTACTTTGCTGCCCTGCTCTAAAAAGTCACTGTATCTTATGCCTCCTGGAAGGGCACAGTGTGAGGTGGCAAACTGTGCTTTCCACCTGACACCGTGGCATACCCGTGCAGAAGGCAGCTGGCACCACCCCAGAGAAGGTGGGGCCCCTGCACCCGGCCCCTGGACACTCTCGCAACGGCTGCAGCTGCCCATCACACACCTCTTAAACTATGTCCCTGGTCATGCTGGTGACAAAGGATTCTGAATGTCACCTCCCTGACTGCCTTCTCTCTCATTCTCTGCTCAAACCGGGCAGTTTGGTCCCCAGAAGGGACCCACCAACGTGCCCGGAGGAGCTCCAGAGGCTACTTTGTAAGGACCTGGGTCCCACGCATCCCATCCTGCCTGCCCTCCCCCCAGGCACTGCACCTGTGTGGCTCACACAGCGAGGCCACTGCTTTTCCCAGGGGCCAGTCCTGATCTCTGTAACATTTAAGGTCAAAACAGATAGCACTAGGTGACAGAAAGTGGCGAAGTGTCCCTGGAGTATCTGCCTGCCTGGAAGGCTCCTTTCAGACCCAACCTGGAGGGTGTGTGGTTACCCAGCACAGGAAAACCCATCTAACAGGGGTGCTGAGGGGCCCTCTGTGGCTCCTGGGGGAAAGTGGGTCTTCAGCCACACTGCGCTATCTTTCCAGGGCTTGTTTCCTCCCTTGTGACTAGAATATCAAAGGGACAGGGAGGGAAACATGACCAGGTGAGAATGTGGAGCACCTAAATAAACTGTGCCGTGTGCACTCCACACAGACCCCTTCTCTTCCCTTCCCACTGGAGGGGAGGCTGTCCCCCGTCACCCCCTTCTTCCTGCATCTACCATTTTACATGCTGCTTTTAAAGCATCTAACATTTAACATACACATTTTCCGTATTATGATCAACTCCCCGCAGGCATTCTTGACTTGATTACCCAATACATGTGTCCAGGTGTTTCTTAACCATTTTCCTGCTGCTGGGCCCTTGCATGCATACACAGACAGATCCATGCTGAACTCACGGCCTCCCACAGACGTCTCTGTGGCAGAGCCCTCAGGTGGAGCCAATCCCGCCCACACTGGTACCTGGAGAGGCTGGGGTAGCCCTGTGCCCCGGCTCCCAGCCGGCCCTGCACACATTCTCAGCATGATTAAATGGGGGCTCCCACAGCATGGCAGCATGGCCAACCCGATGTTCTGACTCTCTTGGTCCTGGGGTGCCTAGGTGCTGGTGTCTTTGGGGTCCTCTCACCGATGCTGTTAATGTGCAGCCTAGACTAGGGCCACGTGTCAGTGGCCAAGACCAGGGCCTTTGAGCCAGCATCCTACTCTGTCGCTTCCTAGCTTTTTGCCCAGGAACAATCACCCAACTGCTCTGACCCTGGTCTGTAAACGGCCATAACGACACCCACGTGCGGGGTTGCTGTGAGGATTAACCGAGGTAACCCACAGGGTGTGAGCAGTCTGGCCAGTCGTGAGCAGTCGGGTCCTATGCGGTCAGCGTATTCTGGTATCTCTGTTTGCATCCTCACCCAGACTGCATGCACTTCAGAAGATGGCTTCTCCCCCGTGCAGCTCAGCACAGAGCCTGGCACAGGGAAGGCGCTCAATGCACTAGATGCAGAAAAATTCTGCTAAATCAAGGGTTTATGACTAGTTTTCCTTCCTTGTAAATCCTTCCTGGATATTTTACAGGGTTTCTGTCCGGCTCGAGTTTATTCTGCACTTCAGGGAAGGAGGCGGCTCTTTTGTGCTTCAGAGGTCGGGACCCTGCAAGCACCCGTTTCTGAAGACGCTTCTTTGGCCCCCAGCCCCCTCCCTCCCCGCACTCAGACGGTCTCCTCCGTGGATGTGGAGCACGGTAAAGAGGCCTCCCCCTTCTCCAGCTACATTCTCTGAATGAGGAAATGACTCAGAGGGAGAGTGTGGCAGGCAGCAAGCGAGGGGCCGCAGACCACAACCATTTTGCTGTCGGTACCAAGTCTTAGTGTCCTCTCTCCCTGACTCACTTCTTGTAAGGTAGCAGGTGTGTGATCTTGGCTGTGATGCTGGCAAATCTCAGCATTGTCTGAATCCTGGCATCTAGGGAGGAGAGCCAAGAGCCCAAATTTCAATTTGAGGGATGGATTTCTTTCCCTATTCAGAAAATGCTATCACTGTTTTTAAATTCTGTTAATTTTGTCATTTCTAATCTATAGGCAACACATTCCTCCTTGGCCACACACGTGACCTTCAGGCGAAGGCCCTCCTGCCAGGAATGCTCTAGTCTCTGTCTCGTGAATTCCTACTGGCTTTTCCTGGCCCGTCCCCTCAGACCTGCCTTCTTGAAGCCTCCAGAACAACCCCCACCCGCACCCCAGCGAGTCATCGTTCCCTGCAGGCATCTTGCGGGGACCATGTCTCTGTGTCAGCTCCCTGAAGCTTGGATAACGTCCATTTATCTTTGCATCTTCCAGCACTTTGCTCAGGCCTGGCACACAGTAGATGCTTCATAAATGTGTGAAATAAATGATAAAAAATTAACAAATGAGCCTATCTAAAGTTAACAAATTAATGTCATTAACTACTTAATAGGTGGTTTTTAAAATATGCTTTAGAAATACACAGGCAAACTTAAAACTGTATCATGAATCTTCTGGAAAGATGGTAATACAAGTGAAAATATAATCACTTTTCATATTTATTGGAGAGAGCTTTCCCTCTATGTATTCATAGTCATTTCAGCCAATAATCAAGGGAGCAGTCTTGACTCATTTAAGGGTCAGGATAGGAGCTGCAGCCGGATGTGCCTGTGGGCTTGGTGGGGGGCTGTGAGGTGCATTCATGTGACTCTCAGAGGCTTCGGCACATCCGGCCATGTTCACGGGATCCCCAAATAATAGTGATCCTCGAAATGTCTCCTTTTTTAGTGGTAAAATATACATAATATAAAATGTCCCATCTTAACCATTTTTAGGTGTATAGTTCTGTGGTAGTAAGGACATTCACAATTCTGTGCAGCCATCTCTGCCACCATCTCCAGAGCTTTCCACCCCTCCAAACCAAAACTCTGTCCCCATTAAACACCGGCTCTGCACACTCCCTCCCCAGCCCTTGGTGCCCACCCTTCTACTTACTGCCACTAGAAGTTTGATGACATATCTTATGCAAGGGGGATTGTACTGGATTTACCTTTTTGTGTCTGGCTTATTTCACTTAACATGGTATCTTCTAGACTCATCCATGTTGCAGGATGGGTCAGAATGTCCTTCCTTTTTAAGGCTGGATAATATTCTCTTGCAAGTATAATCACTGTTTATCCACTCATCCAGGTGTCGATGGGCACCTGGGCTGCTGCCCCTCTGGCCACAAAGCTGCTGTGGGCAGGGGTATGCAGGCCTCTCTCAAGGAGGGGTCTCCGTACCTGCGGGCTGTGTGCACATTAGAAAGCACTGTCCTTCTTGGAATCCTTTCGCTGGCTGCCTAAAGGCTACAGTCCAGCCTGCAGGAAGATTTTGATTGGGTCACGAATTATTTTTAAATTTGGGTATGTAGTTTAAATAAACAAGACAATATTTTTAAAGGTCTAGTTTTCCAGCTCTTCTTGAAAATGAGATTTGCCCACCCTGGGCCCGGACTCCCCACCACACGGTAGGGGGGGCCCTGCCTTCAGGGGCTGTGCTCACTGTGTGTCTGTCAGTGTGTGTCCTGCCCTGGTCCCCACGGGTATTTGCACAGTCACCCCTTCTGCACCCCGGTTTTCAGTGTCCCTTCTTTGGCGGGTATGTGTCCACTTGGTCACACCACAGTGCCCAGCAGCTCATCAGACGCTAATCCAGGGGCCACGTGAGGGTGTTTCTGGATGTGGCTGACATCTACAATCAGTTGTCTGTGAGTACAGGTGTCACCCTGGATGACGCTGTGGCTTCGTGCAGTCGGGTGAAGGCCTGAAGAGGTTTCTCAAGAGAAGTGGTTTGGCCTCCAGACAGACGTACAGACTTGAGCGTCAGGCTGGCCACCCCCAGGCATGAGCCAAGCCCCTTAAGTCAATCCCTGTATCTATGTACATCTCGGGGGTCCTGTTCCTAGAGGGGCCCTACCCTTGCTGGTCTGCACCCCCAGCCCCCAGCATCAGAGCAGCGATTTCATAGTGGCTGTCAGGGCAGATCTTCAAGAGGCTTGCTTCTGTGCCCTCACTTCCTCTCTGCCACCCCATTTCTCCCTCCAGCTCTCTCACTTCCGGACCTTCACGGGGCCTCATCCGACATGCCCTCCTGCCCCAGACGGTGGGAGTTCCTGCCCCACACAGCAGCACATGACCCGCCCTGTCCATTAAATCCTCTTGACCTGTCTCCGGGGCAGACCACAGTCCCAGAGCCCACCCTGGTTTTCTGTCCTCTATCAAACCAGTGGCTCCCGTGTGGTGGCCACACATACCAGGCCAGGTTAGATGTTTGCATGGCACTATTCAACATGAAAGTTCAGTGCAGAAGGCAGGTTTCTTTTTGACCTATGGGCCAAAGCTCAAACTGTTCTATTATCTAAACATTTGCATGACATTTATTTTCATTTTGCAAGAAGAAAACAGCCAGGACTCACCTCATATCTAGCCTCCTTTAACACCTGCATGGAATAGAATCATCAGTTCTGGGCTAAGGGCTTTTGTCCATTAAAACACACCAAAGACATAGTTAATAATAGTAATTATTTCTAAAATCAAAAAATACAGGCAAAAGAAACCCTCTTTAAGCCTAACCAGGAACCTAGGGTGAGCACACGTTGAACATTCTAGAGAAAATAAATGTGTTTCAGGGAAATGATTCCTCGAAGCAGCAAAGTATGTGGCTCAGGTGGAGGACTCGAGGGCGGGATTTTGGTTTCTGACGCCGGAATGAGCTCAGGTGGAGGAAATCCACCAGCCGTTCAATGACTCACTTTTCTCATTTTTACTACAGCTCTGAAGCAATCATATTTTATTTTTTAAGACTCCAATAGAGCTGCATAATAACAAGCCTGTTTATATTTTTAACAAGCCTAGAACACTCCTGTGATTATCCTATTTTACCCACAACATATTAAAAGCATTTAGGGCTTTTATTTTATTCTAAAAACGTTTTGTTTCTTTGATTTCAAACTCCAGCATATTACAATTTCAAGATCTAGCTGCCTAGAAAAACCACACTGGTTATATCTTCTGCTAATACGTTCGTGAACATTTTTTAAAATAAAGGAGGTAAAATAATGTAGCAAAATTCTCTGGAAACCGTGGTGACTTGGCTATTGCATTACTTGAAAATTAAATTCCCAGCTTGACATTTAAGGGGCACAGGGAGGAACAGAGGACTGTGGACAGGCCCATTACGGAGAGTCAGACGGGGAGGACCTGCCATCCCTGATGGAGGGACCCACGGGGACAGCACGGTCCTCCCCAGGCCCTCACCCGTTCACACCGACTGGGGCAGGAAGCCGGCGCTGACCGCTGGGGATCCCACGAACCCCCCTGGGGACCTGCCAGCCTGGCGAGGCCTCGGTGCAGACCCGGCCGGGTGAGCAGCTGCTGGCGCCCCTTTTGCAGCCGTGGAGCCCTGACAGATCCCTCACCACCGAGGGGGGTGCACAGGGCGGAGATCACCCGGCAAGCTGGCAGGAAACCGCCGCTTAGACCAGCAAGGGGACCCGCACGGCACACCGAGGCCATGAATCAGCTCCCCGGAGACGCAGAGCGCTNGGGCAGGCCAGCCTTTCCTGACACCACAGCCATCTGTCGCCACGGCATTCCCCAGGACGTGCACCTGAAAACCTGCAACGGGAGGGGATATTTGGAACATCACTTACTAGAAAGGAGGAAACTACCTGGAAATGAACTTTCAAGTGTTTGAAATTAACTTTAATATGAACAGTTGCCCTACCTTCAGAAAACTAGTTGTTATAGGTTGGATTGTGGCCCCCAAATCTGCATGTTGGAATCTTAAGACCCAGTTCCTCAGAATGTGACTGTTTGAAAGTGGGGCCTTTACAGAGGTGATGAAGGTAAACGAGGCCGTGTGGGTGGGCCTGATCTAGAGACTGGTGTCCTTGTAAGAAGAGGAGATCAGGACAGACATGCACACAGGGACGGCCATACAATGACCCAGGGAGAAGGTGGTCATCTGCACGCCCAGGAGAGAGGCCTTGGGAGGGACCAGCCCTGCCCACCCGGGTCTCTGCTCCCAGCCTCCAGGACTGGGAGAAGCGGATTTCTGTTGTGGAAGGCGCCTGGCCTGCGGCGGTTCGTTAGGGCCGCCCGCTGACTCATGCGCTAGTGTACTCTAAGCAGGCACCGCACCTGTCTGGACCAGCTTCTCGGTCATTCTACCTCCGGAGTGCCTGAAACTTACACATGATCAGAAACTTTAAAAGGATTTTATACTTCTGTACTTTTATGGCTTCATTTCAAAACTAGCCCAGAAGCAACTGAGCAAATACAATTTGCAAGGTGATGCTTAAGCACCTATCAGAAGGTATGCAATTTGCAAGATAAATCTTCAGTGCCTAAATTTTCAACTTTGCTGATTTATATATAGTAAAATCTCATTTATCCAGAAATAATCATTTGTGACCATCTCAGCTCCCTCTAACAGGAACCAAGAAAAACTGTCTCCTGGTTGCCATTCCAGAGAGTACAGAAAAGGGACTAAAGGCAGGCACACCTGAGGTCCAGCCAGAGCCCAACAGTGAGAGCAGACATGTGGAGATCAGTGACAAAGCGGCCTGAACATGCACCTCTCCAGAGCTGCTCTGTGCAGGAGCAAACGCCCCATGTAGCTCTGTGACTCCCAAGGGTGTCAATGCACTGCAGCCCCAGTTATCAGTGCCCAAGGAGCAGGAAATTGCTATTCAATGAAATAATGTAGCACATTTTAGAAACGTTTTTAAACACCACCCCTGGAACTCTAAAAGGGCTATTGCGTAAAAGTAAAGATGTAAAGGTAAACTTCACTTATCTAAATACTTACATCACACAGAAGAGCTCATTCCCAGCTGTGCCAAAGAAGCTTGATGTTTCTGTATCAGTTTAGAAACATCAGCCTATTTTCATAGATCATATCAGTGTGTGGGTCATACTGAAAGACGTGTCTGAGTAACACCTCCTCTGCTGTGATTTCTGGTGTTGAACACACACAGACTTGAAGGGTGTGGGAGCCCCAGACACCAGTCTCACCAGTCAGAATGCTGAACCAGAAGAAAATTCCTACTTCACACACAGAACTGTTTTATTTTGCAAAGCCAAGCCATGTTTTAAAAATACAGATTTTGAATCCTAAAATATGACTTTGAATTTCATATTGAAATGCAGTTAAAGTTTACAATAATGATAGAAAGTTTCAAATAACACATTTGTCAAGGTTACTCGTCAGTATCTTTGTAATCTTTGCAAAAACATATCTTTGGTACATTTCTAATATGCGTTTGTGTTTTTGTAATACGTATTGGTATTTTTCCACTTGTATTCATACATTTACACAGCACTTTCAAAACGTGAGTCCTGTGAACTTTCTACGAAGTTGAAGAGAGTTGTTAAAATCAGATTCCATAGCTAACCTCAGACTTTTGGTATTCAAACCAGCAGCAGACGCCAACATGGTAGCCACTGTCGGCCAGCTAGTTTGAGGCTGGTGATGACCACAGTCCTGTCCACACCTTCAGCTCCCCTATGGCAATGGAAGCTCCTTCCACATGGTCTCAGTGAAGTTTCCTTTTTCTTTTTTAAAAAGCTGTCTACTTAAAGAAAGAAATTTTTTACACTTTAAGCTGCTCTATAGCTTCCTACTGAGTACACTTTGCTAAACAAGTATTTATTAAGCCCCTTCTATATGCCCCACGCATCCTGGTCTGATGGTTTTCTGGAGAAGCATGACCTATCACAGAGACCACTTTCTCTGGGAAAAAGAGCAAATGGACACCTTCCTGATGTCGCCTTGCCCTTGGTGACAATTGCCCCTAGTAGCTGTCCAGCCACCTCACTGTCTCCCCACACGCTTTCCCAGCTCGTGAACTCCTGTGCTTTTCCTTCTGCCTTTTTACAGTCTCACTCTTGCTGAGGGCACCAACGGGAAAGGAGATAGAACTCAAGCCAGTCCATCCTGCTGCCTGTGATTGTCAAGAGTGAACATTCCAATGGATAAGATGTTTAACCTTTTGCCTAATAGGAGTCATGCAAGGGCTTTTATTTGGTCTTTCTTTTTTTCTGTTTTTTTTTTTCAGACCACGTGATTTTTTTTTTTTTTTTGCTACAACCCAGAGAAATTGCAGTCAAGGGTGGCTTCATGACTGTCTCTGAAATTTTTCATGTCTGTAAGCAATCTGCTTTAATTCAGCCTTCCCCAAAGCCTGTTCTGTGAAAAGCCAGCTGTAAACTACTTCAGAGTCACAGCATTCCTGGCCAGGCGACTGGGGTACACACTGCACCCCGTGGGGAGATGGTGCAGTCCTGGCCTCACACAGAAGGCAGCTTGTCCGGTTCCCATGTTCCCGCCTGCTAGCACACCCACGGCACATGCTCAGGGCATCACATAGTGAAGGATGAAGCGTTTTCATTGTCCACGGCCTCGCTGTTCTGCCTGGAGATGAAGGTTTCAGAGTGCAGCCTGGAGCAGGCGAAGCCGGGTGACTTCTGCTTCCTTCCCACACACCACAGGTCCTTCATGACCTTCAGAAAGTAGTTTCTAAACTTCTGACCGATGAACGCATAGAGCACGGGGTTGAGGCAGCAGTGCAGGAAAGCCAGGACCTCGGTGACATTCCTGGTGTAGCCAATGAGCTTCTCGCTGTGGCAGGAGCGGGTCATTCTGCCCAGGTTTGTAGAGAGAGCAGTGCCTGCACTGATAGAGAAGCCGCCTGGGCTGGGGAGATGTCACCACACTGCACAGACTGGAGCTGGAGTCGGAGGCAAGAGTCCCCTCCCCAAAGGCAGGTCAAGGGCGGCAGACGGCCACTGGACAGGGTACACTGAAGACTCCCTCAGAGAAGTGCTCCCATGGTGGCCGGGAATTGGAGCTCAGTCCCCCTACAGGCTGAGTGGGCAGGCCAGCCTTTCCTGACACCACAGCCGTCTGTCGCCACGGCATTCCCCAGGACGTGCACCTGAAAACCTGCAACGGGAAGGGATATTTGGAACATCACTTACTAGAAAGGAGGAAACTACCTGGAAATGAACTTTCAAGTGTTTGAAATTAACTTTAATATGAACAGTTGCCCTACCTTCAGAAAACTAGTTGTTATAGGTTGGATTGTGGCCCCCAAATCTGCATGTTGGAATCTTAAGACCCAGTTCCTCAGAATGTGACTGTTTGAAAGTGGGGCCTTTACAGAGGTGATGAAGGTAAACGAGGCCGTGTGGGTGGGCCTGATCTAGAGACTGGTGTCCTTGTAAGAAGAGGAGATCAGGACAGACACGCACACAGGGACGGCCATACAATGACCCAGGGAGAAGGTGGTCATCTGCACGCCCAGGAGAGAGGCCTTGGGAGGGACCAGCCCTGCCCACCCGGGTCTCTGCTCCCAGCCTCCAGGACTGGGAGAAGCGGATTTCTGTTGTGGAAGGCGCCTGGCCTGCGGCGGTTCGTTAGGGCCGCCCGCTGACTCATGCGCTAGTGTACTCTAAGCAGGCACCGCACCTGTCTGGACCAGCTTCTCGGGCATTCTACCTCCAGAGTGCCTGAAACTTACACATGATCAGAAACTTTAAAAGGATTTGTTACTTCTGTACTTTTATGGCTTCATTTCAAAACTAGCCCAGAAGCAACTGAGCAAATACAATTTGCAAGGTGATGCTTAAGCACCTATCAGAAGGTATGCAATTTGCAAGATAAATCTTCAGTGCCTAAATTTTCAACTTTGCTGATTTATATATAGTAAAATCTCATTTATCCAGAAATAATCATTTGTGACCATCTCAGCTCCCTCTAACAGGAACCAAGAAAAACTGTCTCCTGGTTGCCATTCCAGAGAGTACAGAAATGGGACTAAAGGCAGGCACACCTGAGGTCCAGCCAGAGCCCAACAGTGAGAGCAGACATGTGGAGATCAGTGACAAAGCGGCCTGAACATGCACCTCTCCAGAGCTGCTCTGTGCAGGAGCAAACGCCCCATGTAGCTCTGTGACTCCCAAGGGTGTCAATGCACTGCAGCCCCAGTTATCAGTGCCCAAGGAGCAGGAAATTGCTATTCAATGAAATAATGTAGCACATTTTAGAAACGTTTTTAAACACCACCCCTGGAACTCTAAAAGGGCTATTGCGTAAAAGTAAAGATGTAAAGGTAAACTTCACTTATCTAAATACTTACATCACACAGAAGAGCTCATTCCCAGCTGTGCCAAAGAAGCTTGATGTTTCTGTATCAGTTTAGAAACATCAGCCTATTTTCATAGATCATATCAGTGTGTGGGTCATACTGAAAGACGTGTCTGAGTAACACCTCCTCTGCTGTGATTTCTGGTGTTGAACACACACAGACTTGAAGGGTGTGGGAGCCCCAGACACCAGTCTCACCAGTCAGAATGCTGAACCAGAAGAAAATTCCTACTTCACACACAGAACTGTTTTATTTTGCAAAGCCAAGCCATGTTTTAAAAATACAGATTTTGAATCCTAAAATATGACTTTGAATTTCATATTGAAATGCAGTTAAAGTTTACAATAATGATAGAAAGTTTCAAATAACACATTTGTCAAGGTTACTCGTCAGTATCTTTGTAATCTTTGCAAAAACATATCTTTGGTACATTTCTAATATGCGTTTGTGTTTTTGTAATACGTATTGGTATTTTTCCACTTGTATTCATACATTTACACAGCACTTTCAAAACGTGAGTCCTGTGAACTTTCTACGAAGTTGAAGAGAGTTGTTAAAATCAGATTCCATAGCTAACCTCAGACTTTTGGTATTCAAACCAGCAGCAGACGCCAACATGGTAGCCACTGTCGGCCAGCTAGTTTGAGGCTGGTGATGACCACAGTCCTGTCCACACCTTCAGCTCCCCTATGGCAATGGAAGCTCCTTCCACATGGTCTCAGTGAAGTTTCCTTTTTCTTTTTTAAAAAGCTGTCTACTTAAAGAAAGAAATTTTTTACACTTTAAGCTGCTCTATAGCTTCCTACTGAGTACACTTTGCTAAACAAGTATTTATTAAGCCCCTTCTATAAGCCCCACGCATCCAGGTCTGATGGGTTTCTGGAGAAGCATGACCTATCACAGAGACCACTTTCTCTGGGAAAAAGAGCAAATGGACACCTTCCTGATGTCGCCTTGCCCTTGGTGACAATTGCCCCTAGTAGCTGTCCAGCCACCTCACTGTCTCCCCACACGCTTTCCCAGCTCGTGAACTCCTGTGCTTTTCCTTCTGCCTTTTTACAGTCTCACTCTTGCTGAGGGCACCAACGGGAAAGGAGATAGAACTCAAGCCAGTCCATCCTGCTGCCTGTGATTGTCAAGAGTGAACATTCCAATGGATAAGATGTTTAACCTTTTGCCTAATAGGAGTCATGCAAGGGCTTTTATTTGGTCTTTCTTTTTTTCTGTTTTTTTTTTTCAGACCACGTGATTTTTTTTTTTTTTTGCTACAACCCAGAGAAATTGCAGTCAAGGGTGGCTTCATGACTGTCTCTGAAATTTTTCATGTCTGTAAGCAATCTGCTTTAATTCAGCCTTCCCCAAAGCCTGTTCTGTGAAAAGCCAGCTGTAAACTACTTCAGAGTCACAGCATTCCTGGCCAGGCGACTGGGGTACACACTGCACCCCGTGGGGAGATGGTGCAGTCCTGGCCTCACACAGAAGGCAGCTTGTCCGGTTCCCATGTTCCCGCCTGCTAGCACACCCACGGCACATGCTCAGGGCATCACATAGTGAAGGATGAAGCGTTTTCATTGTCCACGGCCTCGCTGTTCTGCCTGGAGATGAAGGTTTCAGAGTGCAGCCTGGAGCAGGCGAAGCCCGGTGACTTCTGCTTCCTTCCCACACACCACAGGTCCTTCATGACCTTCAGAAAGTAGTTTCTAAACTTCTGACCGATGAACGCATAGAGCACGGGGTTGAGGCAGCAGTGCAGGAAAGCCAGGACCTCGGTGACATTCCTGGTGTAGCCAATGAGCTTCTCGCTGTGGCAGGAGCGGGTCATTCTGCCCAGGTTTGCAGCAGTCACGAGGAGCACCATGTTATGCGGGACCTGGCAAGCCATGAAGACGAGGATCACGGCTATGATCACACGGATGGCCTTGTGCCTTTTGGAGTTCTGAGCTCGCAACAAGGTCTTGACAATGAACACGTAGCAAAACACCATAAACACCAGTGGGATGAAGAAACCGAAGAGGAGCTGCAGCCCCAGCATGAGCAGCTTCCACCTGACAGGCTCCGAGACCCTGTGGTACCTGGGCTCACACACGTCGCGGCCCTGCACGTTGTATTTCTGGTTGAACGTGAAGGTTGAGCTGGAGATCAGGATGGACACCACCCACACTGCGGAACAGATGGTTTTATGGTGCGCGAGTGTCCTGGAGCGCAGCCTGAAGGACGTGGTGGCCTGCACGATGGCGATGTAGCGGTCCATGCTGATGCAGGCCAGGAGCAGCATCCCGCAGTTGAAGTTGACGGCGTAGATGCCCGCGATCAGCTTGCACATGGCATTGTTGAAAACCCACTCACCAACAGCATGGTTAACAGCCCAGAACGGGAGCGTGAGGACAAACAGTATGTCTGCGATGGCCATGTTCAAGAGGTAGACGTCTGTCATGGACTTGGCTTTCTTATAAAAAGCAAAGGTTACCACCACTAAGATATTGCCCAGGAGGCCAAAGACACATATCACAGAGTAGGCAATGGGCACGAATAGCCCAGAGAACTGCCTGACCTCCTGCAAGGAGCAGAGTAATGTGTCATCTTCAACTGAATAGTCAGAAGTATTAGTCAACCCAAAATAATCCTCATTTAAATCAAAGACAGCGGTGGAGTTCACTGCGTCCTGGAAATTGAACAAAGGTAGAGTTAGCTGTAGCGTAATTTTCAAGGAGCCACAGTTGACCAAAATTTTACTCCAAAATAAAATAGACACTCACCGCACTCATTGTGGTGCTTGACTGGGGCAGAAAACACAGGCCTGGTGCAGAAGGGCTGGATGCTCAAGCCCTCTGGCTCACCAGCAGAGGCAACAGGACAGAAGTGAATCTAAGGAGGAAGGAAATCAAAATACATTGTAGTTAAGACACACCTGCTCGGACAGCTGGAGACTTAGGCCAACCACATTCCAGCCCCAGAGCGTGCACAGCATGTATGGGATTTACATAAAAAGATTCGTTTAGGACAGGAGCCAGCAACCTCTTTGCACAAAGGACCGGAGAGTAAATATTTTAGGCTCTGCAGGTCATGTGGTCCCTGCCACAACTATTCAAATCTACCCTTAAAGCTTGAGAGTAGCCCTAGACCATTACATACACACATGGGCTTAAGCAGACTTGGGTTCCATGGCTGCGGTTCATCAGTCCCTGAGCTCTAGCTTAAAGAAGGGTGACAACAGCAAAGCCACAAACTTTGATCTGCACGAAATCTTGATGCAAAATTCAATTTAATTATATCTAACAGGATTCCACTCACCAAAATCTACAGAAGTGCCATGTGTCCAGAATACTTATTATGTATAGTCCGAGTCTGCAAGTCGTTTACAATATACTTCAGGGATTTGCACCTGTGTGAACAGGTGAGAGACATTGCTGAAGTTTTTTAAGGTTTGAATATGAGGGTTATTCTCAAGCTACACTGAATAAGTCTCTGGCCTGGAAAGACAGTAGGTAAGTATATCTATTTCTTAAAAACCATAGATAGTTCCAGTGTACATTCTAGTTAACAATCACTAATCTGATGGGGCAGACACATCATAATTGTTAGAAAGCAGAGGTTGGTAAGAAATGCTAAGTTTGGCCTGGTTAGGAAAGGCTGGGTGGACAGGGCTACTCTTGGTCCGTGGAGAACGGGCAGGCTGCAGGCAAGAGGGTGGCAGGGAAGGTGACCCCCTGCAGGTGACTGGTTGGCTCCTGCTGACCAGGGAGGGCATGGTGCATCTGTGAAGCGGCCGGCCGTGCGACCGGCTGGGCCCAGTCAGGCCGACTGTTATCAAGCAACATTTGTGGAACAAGTGATGTGCTGGGAATGCCAGGGGGCGGAGTGTGAGGCCAGGCCTGAGGAGTCCGCCTGGGCACAAGTAAAGTGTGGTGCTAGGGTCTCAGAGTGAGGGACGCTAAACTCTGTCATTTGAAACTCAGAAAGGAATGAGAGAACTTAGCGACCCTCACACTCGCTGCCCTTCGTCTGCTGTTGTCATCCCACCTGATGAGCTCCCCGCCCCAAATCCCTGGCCTGGGATCCTCAGATAATCGCGTTGAATGTGCGTTAATTCCCTTCCTCTGTCCTGCCCCTCACCACCTGGCAGGCCAAGGGGGTGAAACAACAGAAACGCAGGCCTCAGTCCACAGGCAGAGAGGGTGCACCTTGCCCAGGACCACCCAGCCGCGCCAGGCCCGACGTGCCCACGGAGTCACAGCGAGCTATGGCGCCCTTGGCGCCCTCGCGCCCTCGGCGTTCCTCGGCTTCTCACTGCGTGGCCACCCGGTCGTGGATGGACGCCTCCGCCTGCTGCCCCCAGAGCCGTCACCTGCCCAGCCAGTCCGTGCCGCCCCCAGTCCCCGCCCGGACAGGGCAATGGCTGCAGGCGCGCCCCTTGCCGTCTGTTTCAGAAGCATGGCACGAGGCCTCCTGCTGGGAGCACCTGGGAGGAGCCGCACATCAGCCCGATCCTCCGATTAAACGTGTCGGTCAAACCACGACTACGCACTTGCCCTTTGGCCACAGCGGTCGCGAGGCCAGGTGGCCACACTGCACAGGCAGGAGGCTGGGACGATGCACCACTGGCCGCTGTTGGATCTGGGGCCAAAGACACCGCAGGACTGCGGTCCCGGCACAAGTGGGCCCTGGCCTGAGCCCCGAAAAGCCCCCGTCCACGCTGGAAACAGTGTCCAAACATGGAGCAGGGGCGCACCCTGACCTGGGAACGGCGGGCTCGCTGCGCTGAGGGGCCGGGGCCGGAGCTCAGGGAGGCCAGGCAGCCCCCCTGTGACAGAGAGGGGAGTGGCCCGCAGGCAGGAGGGGACAGCCGCGGGGAGGCGTCCCTTAGAGGAAGCAATAGACCCCAGGAAAAGAGCTAGCAGAAAGGGGGCCCGGAGTTCTCAGAGCCCCACAGGCTGGAGCCGCAGCAACACCTCCTCAGTCACAGGGCGCTGGGGGCATCCTCAGAAGGGGCCACTCTGGGGGTGACACGGCTAAAATAATCCTACATAAGATGCTGCTCCGGACCTGCCATAAGAACGCATAAAAGATGTCTGATTCTAATAATACAACTACTTTCCAGAACAAAACCCAAAATTATTTCAAGAAATCTAACAAAAGCCAGCCTTCATTCAATAACATAAAGTTCCTGATGTCGGGTATCCAAACAGAAATTTCCAGACAATTGTGGACTGAATGCTTGTGTTGCCCCAAAATCCATCTGCTGAAGCCTCACCCTCCACGTGCTGGCCCTTGGCATTGGGCCCCCCTCGTGAGTGGCAGTGGTGTCTCAGGAGAGACACGGGGAGCTAGCTGCCTCTCTCTGCCGCGTGAGGACAAGGCAAGGAGCTGCTGACCAGAAGGGGTCCTCGCCAGGCCCCGGGTCTGTCTCAGGCTTCCAGCCTCCAGAACTGCGAGAGGTGGCTGCTTGCTGTCTGAGCCGCCCAGTCTGTGATAATTTCTTATGGCAGCTCAAACCAAGACACAAACATGTAAAGAAGCAGGAAAATATACGCCATAATCTACATGAAAACAAAAAAAGACAGAGATAATAGAATTAGCAGCAAAGATGCTCTAAGAGCTACTATAAATATATTCCATATGTTCCAGAAGGGATGGGAAGCAAAACCATGATGAAGAAAGTATCATCTTCATAATAATAAGATACCTTATAAAATACAAAAAAGGCCCAAATAAAGATTCTACAGATGAAATATACAATATGTAAAATGAAAAATACCCTGATTCTGATTAACATCAGGTCAGACACTGTTCACATACACAAATCAACTGCAGTGCTAAACCCTAGGAGCAGTTAGGACATTTGCAAATTGAAACTGAAAGAGAATTATAATAGCATCAAAAAAATGAAATATTTACAAATGCATCTAGTAAGATGTATACAAGATTTCTGTGCTGCAAACCACAAAATGTTGAGAAAAAATAAATAACATCTAAATGAATGGAGAAATACATCATATTCAGGATTAAACAATTCATTATTGTTAAGATACTGGTTTTCTCCAAGTGGATCTGCAGATACAACATAATCCAAATCAAAATTGTGATAGGGATTTTTTTGTAGAAATTGACAGGTTAATTCTAAAATTGATACAAAAATTCAAGAGACTTGGAAGAGACAAAACAATTTTGAAAGAGAACAAAATTGTAGGGCTCACCTTACCTGAATTCAAAACTTTCTAGAAGCTCTAGGAGTCATGTGGCATTGGTAAGGGTAGATACACAAATCATAGGATCAGAATAGAGAGACCAGAAATAAATAACCCCACACACGAATGGTCACGTGATTCTTAACTACTATGCCAGGGTAATTCAACAGGAAAAAACAGTCTTTGCAATAAATGGCACTGAAACAACTGCATATTCCTGCATAAAAAGTTGACCCTTACTGCTTACCTCACACTAGAGGCAAAAAAAAATCTCAAAATGAGTTATAGAACTAATGTGAAAACTAAAACCCTAAGACGTTTAAAAGCAGACACACGAGAAAACCTCTGTGCCCTTAGGAACAGAAGAGATATTTTTACATAAATTGCAAAAGGCATGAACTATAAAAAAAAATCGATATATTGTAATTGATCAGCATTAAAAACTTCTGGCATTTGAAATACACTTATGAAAATGAAAAAAACAGACCAATCCATGGGGAAAAATTGTAAATCTGATTATGGACCGTATCCAGAATACACAAAGAACTTGTACACCTCAGTGTCAAGAAAATACACAACTCAACAAGAAACAGGCAAAAGTTTGCAATAAGCACAAGGAAAGTCTTAATGTCATGAATCAGGGAAATGCAGATTAAAATGCCAGGAGATGTCCCTTCTCACCTGCCAGAAGGGATAGAATTAAAAAGACAGAGAAGGCGAGAGCTGTGAACGGTGGAGCTGCCGGGGCTCTTGCACCCTGTGGGGTGGGAAATCACATGGCCACTTGGAGATCCTCCTACAGCTCAACGCACACTCTGTGTGAACCCGCAACTGACTCCCGTGTATTCACCCAAGGGAAGTGAAATGCAAGACTCAGACATGAATGCCCACAGCAGGTTGGTTCTCAATAGCCCCAAACTGGAAAGGGCCCCAGTACCCACCAGCTGGTGAACAGAATAAGGACATCGGGCTATGTCCACGGAGTAGAACAGCGTCCCCAGCAGACAGAACAGAATGCGGAAACATGCGCCGGCACGGCTGACCCCAGTGCATTTTGCTGGGAATCCAGACACATGAGACTAGGGGCTGCATTATTCCATTTATATTTACATGAAGTTCTAGAAAAGGCAAAACAATAGTGGTGGAAATCAAGTCAGTGATGGTTGTGGGTTCAGGGATGAGAAGAGATCTGCTGACGGGACAAAGGGACCTCTTTGTGGCGAGGGAAATGATCCCCTCAGGACTGTGGTGATGGTGTCAAGACCCACTGAATTTATAGACTTCAGATTGGTGGCGCTGACTGTGTGAATTATACCCCAATAAAGCTAATCCTACAGTAACTGCACACTGGGTCAGACAGCAGCAGGCTCACGGAGCAAGCAGGACTGGCGAGGACCCTGAGGACATCACCTGTGGGAAGCGGTGGGGCCAGGTAAGTAGGGGGGGTGCAGGAGCACAGCAGGAGAGGCAGGCACGAGAGTGGGGACACAGCCTCCCCTAGAGGTGACCGGGCAAGGTGGGAGCGGGTGGGCAGCAGTGCAGCCCTGGGGGGCATGCAGTTCCCCAGTGGGGGACTAGGCAGAAGGATGCAGGAGCGTTCCCTTCATGGGGAGGGGCCTGCGGCTGACAGGGACGCCAGCAGTCATCACCAGGCTGTGAGGGGCAGTCCAGCCTACTGTGCATCCAGACACTGCTGGAGAATGGGACCACGTTCCTTATGTGTGAAATGTAATTTAATTCAGCTCAACAATGGTGTGCAAAATAGCTACTGCACAAACACACAGAGGCGAACCAGGCAGGCCCAGGGTCAGGACGCTGCCAGGCAGACATGTCATTCTGAGGTTGTGTGGTCTGGCTGTGACCATGGGATGCGCAGAAAAACAAGCGGTGACTCTTAGGGATGGAAGGTCAGTGTCAGGAAAGGCCTTGTCATGCCTGTAGGTGGAAGGGCCAAGCAGGCAGCCTGAGTTACCCAGGTACTTGGGCCATGCCAGAGGGCATTCCCATAGAGACATTATAAGTGTGGTCTGAATTATGTCTATTCATAAGACACTACTTTAATTTCCTTTCATTTTATCTTATTTCTGATTAGAATGGCAGAATAAGTCACAGTAACCCCAAATCTGTAAATTCCATCTCTCTTAGGGAAAGTGCTATATACCTGCTGGGTACGGACAAAACACAAATCTGGATAATG